AGCAGGAGAAAAAAAAATTCTACAGTGGTTATTTCAGCAGAATGTAGCTAAATCCAGAACCATTAATGATTGACATAAATTTACCTTCTACCTCATATAAATCGTGAAGGAAAAATTTCAAGAAATGAGCGGAAGAGGGAAAATGAAGAATCCTTTCATTAATAGCTTTTTGCCAATCCATTCATCTAATTCAGGTATTAGACTCCTAAATTTAAGTTCTTAAAATGTCAGTGTTTGAATATTAAACACTAAAACTCTTAAAAATTATTCACTTTAGGGGCACCTGGGTGGCTCAGTCATTAAGCATCTGCCTTCGGCTCAGGTCATGATCCCAGGGTCCTGGGATCGAGCCCCGAATCGGGCTCCCTGCTGCGCGGGACGCCTGCTTCTCCCTCTCCCACTCCCCCTGCTTGTGTTCCCTCTCTCGCTGTGTCTCTCTGTCAAATAAATTTTTAAAAAAATTATTCACTTTATTTATTTATTTAGTGGGCAGCAAAGCAAAGTTTCTTGATAGTACAAAGCTCCCAAAAAGAGAGGGGATCCAAGAGGGTTGTCCAAAAATTATTCACTTTAAGTAAGAAATTTTAACTTTAAAAAAAAAAAAAAGTAGGCTCCACACTTATGTGGGCCCCAACGAAGGGCTTGAACTCAGGAACTGAGATCAAGACCTGATGTACGCTTAACCGACTGAGCCACCCAGGCCCCCCAAGAAATTTTAACTTTTGAAAGACATAGCAGTAGACAGAAACACCACTTCACACAAATTCTTCCAATGGGGGAATAAATGATCAGATTCGGGTAACTTTATTTCATCTCAAAGGACCCTGTAATTAATCTTTGTTTCTCTGGAGGTGGAAAAAAATACACTTGAAAGAGAGAATGCGTAGAATGCCTGGGTGGCTCAGTTGGTTGAGCGCCAGATTTTGGCTGAGGTCATGGAACCTACTTAAAAAAAAAAAAAAAAAACGAACTAAAAAAAGAGAATGTGTAGAGAGGGTAGTGGGTGCCTACAGTTGACAATACTGTATTGTACACTTAATCTGGCAATCCTCAGGCAACCCCTTCCCCCAATTTAGGTAAGAACAGGGACAGACTCATATCAGGACCAAGGTGGCCCCCAAAACAGGGCCTAGAGTTTCAGTTTTGCACGATGAAAAAGTCCAGGAGATGGGTTGCACAACTGTGTGAATGCTATACTTCACACTGCTGAACTGTAAATAAATAAATAAATAAATAAGATTGGATTCAAAAATTATATATAGATAGATATAGATGCTGCAGGCAGTGTCTGTGTAAAATAACAAAAGAAAATATTGGCACACGATGTACACGATTCCGTTTTTCACTAGGGCTCCAGAGCAAAACTCCACAATTCTGACAACTTATGGAAAAACACTTAGGCAGAAATAAAGATTGGTGGGCGCCTGGGTGGCTCAGTTGGTTAGGCGACTGCCTTCGGCTCAGGTCATGATCCTGGAGTCCCGGGATCGAGTCCCGCATCGGGCTCCCTGCTCGGCAGGGAGTCTGCTTCTCCCTCTGACCCTCCTCCCTCTCATGCTCTCTGTCTCTCATTGTCTCTCTCGCAAATAGTCTTAAAAAAAAAAAAAATTTAAAAAAAATTAAAAAAAAAAAGAAATAAAGATTGGTCTTAGGGGTACCTGGGTGGCTCAGTTGGTTGGCTTCTGACTCTTGGTTTTGGCTCAGGTCATGATCTCAGGGTCATGAGATTGGGCCCCACTTCCTGCCCCTTTTGGGCTCTGTGCTCAGTGGGAGTCTGCTTGAGATTCTTTCCCACTGTGCAGCCCCCACCCCCTGCTCATGCATGATGTTCCCTCTCTCTCTCTCTCTCTGTCTCTGTGTGTGTCTCTCTCTCCCTCTCTCTCATTCTCAAGTACATAAATAAATCTTTAAAAAAAAGATTGGTCACATGTGGGGTTACACATTATCGAGGGGATGGCATTTAAATAATCATTACAATCATAGCATGTTTGATTAATGGAATCATTTTGAATAAGGAATACTAAGTATTTCTCAATTATTTTGGCTACAAAGTCTGCTTGTAGTTAACGAATCAGTTAATTATTTCTAGAAGGCAGATTTCAGGACTGCACTTATTCCTATATGTAAACATGTTGGGGAATTTTGTCCACTTTGGGAAAAAGATGATGGCGCATTTACTAAACTGCTTACATAAACCAAATCATCTACTCTTAAATGGTGTTTTAAGTGAAATTAGTATTTTGAGCAAAATAATGCAGGAATCCAATTCGATGCCCTTACAAGCACCAAAGGAAGAAAGGATAACACAAGATCAGTGTTATGTTAAAAATTTTTGAGTCTTGGGGCGCCTGGGTGGCTCAGTCATTAAGCGTCTGCCTTTGGCTCAGGTCATGATCCCAGGGTCCTCAGATAGAGCCCTGTGTCAGACTCCCTGCTCAGTGGGAAGCCTGCTTCTCCCTCTCCCACTCCCCCTGCTTGTGTTCCCTCTCTCGCTGTGTCTCTGTCAAATAAATAAATAAAATCTTTAAAAAAAAATTTTTTTTTGAGTCTTGGTGGCGAGCATGCTATTCTCTGTAGGTTGATGTGTGTGTGAAAATTTCTAACAGTAAAAAGTTTTTAAAATAGCACCTTAATGTCTACCACCAAACATCCTCAATTTCCCCCCAATCTCTTAAATAATTATTTGGTTCCTAAAGTTTAATTACTGAAAAAAAAAAAAAGAATCCCTGGGTTTACAGGGAGCTCAGAGTTCATGTTGTATAACCCCCTGTGGATATAAGAGCCCTGCCCAAATCCCTAGATCTAGATCACCAGGTCTCCACTTGATTACCTCCTGCAATGGAGAGCTTCCCACCTAATATCTCACAGTCTCCAAAGGTACCTTAAGGCGATCAGAATCAAAATCACATACACACAGCCACACACTCACACAGTCACTTACACACACTCTCTCATACACACACAAATACTCACACACTAAACCGGCTGGTCTGACGATTCTTCAAGCCTCAGTCTCTGAAACTGTGAACCACTGTGAACACCTCCAAAGCCTCTACCTTCCACAGGGGCTTCAGAAAACCCAGCCTCCTTCCTTGGCCAGTCTCTGCTCTCCAGGGGCCCTTCGCTCCACCCTGCTCCTCTGTGGCCAGCACCCAACAGAGAGCCTGGGGAAGGAACAGGAGCAGCAGGAAGAACAATTTGGATGCAAAACAGGTTTGGGGAAGTGATGCCTCTTGGGAGGAGCAGTGATTTGGCAAGAGGGGAACCATGCCTATGAGAGTTCAGAATCTGGTGAGTGTCCACAGTGCCTGGGTGTGTGCTGTCACAGAAAAATTTCACCAAAGTTAAACAGGCACAGGAGACTTTATTCAAGACTATGGCAGGGGCGCCTGGGTGGCTCAGTCGGTTAAGCAACCGACTCTTGATCTTGGCTCAGGTCTTGATCTCACACTGGGTGTGGAGCTACTTAAAACAAAACAAAACAAAAACTTATGACAATAGTGGAGAAACTCCACCAAAACAAAATAGGGAAAGGTTTTTAAGCCCTGAATGGGCTAGTGGAACAGTGCTGGTCGGTGATAGGAGAGAGGCTGGTCCATGGGCTGTGTCCAGCACACTGAGCTATTTCTGAGTTTGCGAGTGTTTTTCTCTGCGATAAGGCCATCTGTATTTGCTAATTGTCCCTTATTCAAGTTCGGCTCCTACCCTCCCACAGAGCCTGGGGGGGGGGGGGGGCGGGTGCTATCTTCTTCAATGATGACTTTTCAAAGGGATGGCTTGCAGGTCCCTGAGAAAGACATTCCAGGGTTGCAAAACTACTAAGAGGCTGGGAGATTTACCTACATTTCAAAGAGACAGAGAAAGAATATGCAATGCCAAGTTTTCTAAAACAAATGCCCTAAGGAAAGGGAGGTCAGGGGGCTGTAGTCAGGAAGAAAGCTGTGTAAAATTTAATCAAGCTCGGGGGACCATTAAGGCCATCCTGGTCACTGCCATTATGTCAACTCTGTCCCATCCATCTGTGGGTCTATGACCCTAGGTCTCTGCACATGCCTGGTGCCCACCCTGCACAGCACAGTGAGGGCTGTGATCGCAGGGGGCAGCTCCACCAAGGGGCAGAAGTGAGGCAGGTCAGGAGGTGCTGACTTGGGGTCTCTGCCCCAGCTCCAGCTGCCTGCAGGGGCATCCGTCTGCATGTCCCCACAGCCCTGTGTCTGAGTGTCCACATGGATCTGTGTCCTCGGGGGATTCCGTGTCCCTCTGCTTGTCTGCCTGTGTCTCTATCTCCTCCAATTTTTTTTATTCATTCATTTACTAATCTAATAAACATTTATTAAAGGCATGTCCTGTTCATCAAGGTGTCCCCTTTCCTGTCTGGGTTTGTCTGGGTGTCTACATTTACATCTGTCCACACTGCGAGTACCTGTCTTTGTGCATCCCATGTGTAACTGCCTCTCCATCTGTCTGTCTGTCTCTGCTTCTCTGTACATTCATTGGTTCATTCATTCATACAACATTGCAAACATCCCTGAGGCCTCTGAGGAGTTCTCAGCCTGATAAGGGAGACAGACAGCAGTCCAACCCAGGGTGACCATGGCTGGAGACAGGGAGGTGCCTGAGGCTGAGAGTGGGTGGATGAGTAGGGGAGATCGGGATCAGAAGAGGCTTCTAGGAGGAGGTGATGTTTGTGTCTCTGGGTCCGGAGACATGACCCCAGCATTGGAGGGTGTGTGTGTGTGTGTGTGTGTGTGTGTGTGTGTGTATTTATGCATAATGTGTGTTCCAGTAGAGAAAGAGAAGAGAAATCAAGACAGCCTGCAAATAACAAATCCCCCAAATTAAGGATTATAGGCCTCTAGCTCCCTCTTCCTTCAGACCCAGAAATCCAGATCCCTCTCCCTCCTCAGCACCAAGGACTCATCATGGCCCCATCATGATTACCTAGGAGGAAACCAGGAAGGGCGGGGGTGGAGGAATCCGGAGCAGGCTGGAGAGCCGGGATGCCTGGGGCTCTCAGCAGGGAGAACCAGCCAGACAGAAATCAGATCAGGAGGAGCTGTCCTCGGGGTCTCCGCTCAGCTCCACAAACTGGCAATGGGAGTCCCCAGAACCATCCTCCTCTGCCTCTTTGGGGCTGTGTTCTGCCTAACAGGTACCCAGACTTCTGAGCCTAGTGTTAAGAAATGGGGAGGGGGTTGGACTTCTGGGTCTGAGGGAGGAAGGATTGAGGGGGCCTGGACTCCTGAGTCTGAGGGAGGAGGCAGCTGGGAGTTTGGACTCCTGGGTCTGAGGGAGGAGAGGCTGGGGGCCTGGACTCCTGGGTCTGAGGGAGGAAGGGCTGGGGGTCTGGACTCTTGGGTCTGAGGCAGGAGGGGCTGGGGGCCTGGACTCCTGGGTCTGAGGGAGGAGGGGCTGGGGGCCTGGACCCCTGGGTCTGAGGGAGGAGGCGTCTGGGGACCAGAACCCCTGAGTCTGAGGGAGGAGGGGGCTGGGGTCTGGACTCCTGGGTCTGAGGGAGGAGGGAATTAGGGCCAGGACTCCTGAGTCTGATGGAGGAGGGGCTGGGGACCTGGACTCCTGGGTCTGAGGGAGGAGGGGCTGGGGGTCTGGACTCCTGGGTCTGAGGGAGGAGGGAATTAGGGGCAGGACTCCTGAGTGAGGGAGGAGGGGCTGGGGGTCTGGACTCCTGGGTCTGAGGGAGGAGAGGCTGGGGGCCTGGACTCCTGGGTCTTGGTGGAGGAGCCGACTGGAGACTGTGTCCTCATGTGTCTTCTCCTCTGTTCTCCCATCAGTCATCTTCTCTGACGTCTCTATCCACCCACCCCCCTCCACTGCAACCTCTCATCCTCCTTGCCCATGCCCCTGTTCAAGGGCACTTCTGGGGAACCCCGGGGGTCTTTCCAGAACTGGCAGAGAACTTTGGCCTCACCCTCAGGCAACCCCTTCCCCCAGTTTGGGAAAAGACAGAGACATACTCATATCAGGACCGAAATGGCTCCAAAGATGGGAGCAGAGCGGGGAGAGGAAGCTAAGCCTGAGCCCGGCCCACTGTGTGTGTGGTCATCCACGGAAGAGAGTTCGAGTTCTGTGTGTGTCCATGTAGGCATGCCCGGTGGGTCTCTGTGCATGTGTTTCTCTCTACCAGATTTCACATGTGAACAAGTGTTTGAACAAATGCTTCGGGGTCTGTGTTTCTCTGAGTTTCACTTTCTTTGTAGAAGAGATGTGTGTATAATTTTGCATATCTGTGTCTCTCTTTGTGTTCGTGCATCCCTGTGATTGGCAGGCCTATGTTTATCTCTGTGCACACGTGTCTGGGTACTGAAGTGTGTCTATCTCTCTGTGTATCTGTGCCCCATGTCTCTCTGTGTCTTGGATCTGTCTATGGTTTAAAATTCTATGGTTTTGTGGGTCTTTTTTTGTATCTCTAACTTGGCATAATTGTGGTCTCTCATTTTATTTGTGTGTCTATGATTCTTTTTTTTTTTTTTAAAGATTTTATTTATTCATTCATGAGAGACAGAGAGAGAGAGAGGCAGAGGCAGAGGGAGAAGCAGGCTCCCCGCGGAGCAGGGAGCCCGATGCGGGACTCGATCCCAGGACCCTGGGATCATGACCTGAGCTGAAGGCAGACGCTTAACCGACTGAGCCACCCAGGCGTCCCAAATGTGTGTCTATGATTCTTGAGGCCATATCTGTCTCTCTCTGGGTATGACTTCCTATGTCCCTGGGTCTCTCTGCATGTTGTTTTTGTTTCTGCATCCACACATTTTTCTGTCTGTTGGTATGATCTTGCATGTGTCTTGGTTGGGAGAGTTTCCATTGGAGGGTTTGGGTGGTACTTATTTTATATTTGAATATAGAACTCTGCATGAATGCTCAGGATATTCTGTGCCTGTGTGTGAGATTTGCATGAGCCTGTGTCAATTTTGTTATTTTGTGTTTATGTCAGTATTTCAAGTGCTTTGTGTGTGTGTCGCCGGGGCTGGCTGTGTGTGTACATTTGTAGTACAAGATCGCACATCCCATTACCTGTGCTGGAGTCTGTTTTCTACCCGTGGCCTTTTAGTGCTACTGGACATCCTGAGTTTAGTTGGAAGAGGGACAGGCAGAGCAGGAGTGAATCACTTCCTCCTTTATCTAATCTTAGAGGGCTTCCTGGAAGAGGGTGGAGATCCTGAATAGCTGGGGGAGGGAAACTGGACTGGCAGGTGCACAGAGGCCATTACTCTGCCAGGAGGTAGACACTGCCATGACCAGCCACAACAGTGGTTTTGAGGTACAGTGGTATGGGCTGCGCACTGCATCGGGGGCCTGCCTAGCCTGACATGAAGGCCTGAATCCTAGCGTGCCTAGTTCTGTCTAGGCAGCAAGGCCTGGCTCCCCTCAGAGCAGAGCAGCTTGGCTGGTGAGACTGTCATTTGCTAGGGGGAGCTCGGGGGAGTCCCTGGAACAGGCTTATCCCCCGCCACACACATCCACCCCGCTTCTCTCCTCAGCGTCCCAGGCCCGACAATGCTACAACTTTCAACACATCTACTTCGGGCCCTTTGACCTCAGCGGCATGAAATTCCACAATGTCTCCTGTCCCCATGGATGCTCTGAGGCTGTCTTGTCCCTGGACACTGGTGAGGGACAGAAAGTGGCAGGAAAAGGAGAAGCCTGTGCAGAAGACAAAGGGGTGGGGGCAGAGACGGGGGTGAGAGATTAGGGAGGGAGGGGGCAGAGGGGAAGAGCCAAGGGGCTGGGGGGATTGGGGAGAAGAGAAGGGCAGAGCTAAGGACAGAGAGCAGAGGTGGAGGATGCGAGGAGGAAGAAGAGGAGGGAGAAAGACCGGGGAGGATGAGGGGCGTGAGGTAGGGCAGGAGACCGTGGGAGACTGGGGGAGGGGGAGGGGAGGGGGATAACAGAGTGGGGAGGGGGTGGGAAGGGATTGGTGAGGGGAGGAGGAGTAGGGGGACTAGGGGAAGCGGAGTTTGCAGGGAGAGAGGGAGGAAAGAGAAGGGCAGCAGGGACAGGCCAGGTGAGTGCCAGAGAAGAGCGGAGGAGGAGGGAGAGACTGGAGACTACAGAGGCCGAGCGGGGAGGTAAGAAGGAAAGGAGGAAGGAGGCTGGGACGAGGCAACGCACCAGGCCCCGGTCCCCTCCCGCCCCCAGGGTACCGCGCCTCAGTGACCATGGTACAGAAGGGCTGCTGGACAGGCCCGCCTACCGGCCGAATGCTGTCCAACGACCACGCGCTGCCGCCCGACTACTCGGTGGTGCGCGGCTGCGCGACTGACTTGTGCAACGCCGACCTCATGACCCACGACTCCATCCCCAATTTGAGCCCGGGTGAGCGGGAGGGCGGGGCTGGCCGGGGTGGGCTGGGGGGGGCCCCCCCGCCGGACAGGGAAGGGGCGTGGCCTCCACTGGGCGCCTCCTCCATCGTGCTAGGATTCAGACCTTCACGTCAGTCAGGCCAGGTGGGCGCCCCGATGCAGTGCGCAGCCCACACGACCGTACCTCGCAACCATTACCTGAGTGTGCGTCTACGCTCTCTTGCCAGCGCCCAACCCGCCGACTCTCAGCGGCTTGCAGTGCTACGCCTGCTTAGGGATCCACCCGGAGGACTGCACCCCGGAGAAGTCTCGACAGGTCCACTGTCACCAGGACCAAAGTGTCTGCTTCCAGGGCAATGGCCAAATGACCGTCGGTGAGGGGCTGGGAGCGGGGCAGAGCCTGGGCAAAGGGTGTGAAGGCAGGGCCTGAGGGCCGGACAGGCCTGACAGGGAGACACGGCTCTGGTCTGAAGGAGGAGGCGTGGCTGGGAGGGAAGAGCCATGGCTGTCTTTTGAGGGAGAAGCATGGCCCTGGTCTGAGGAAAGAGGCATGGCTCTGGTCTGAGACAGGAGGCAGAGCCCTGGTCTGGAAGGAAAAGGCATGGCCTGGTCTGAAGGAGGAAGCCATGTCCCTGCTCTGAGGGAGGAGGCAGGACTGTAGTCTGAGGAGAGAGACCGGAAGTAAGTCTGAGGACCCAGTCGTGGCCCCGGCCTCTGAGGTGGAGGTTCAGGTACAGCTGCCTCCCTCAGTTCTGACCCCCTCCTCACTGCCCCACCCCCCCAGGCAATTTCTCAGTCCCCGTGTACATCAGAACCTGCCATCGGCCCTCCTGCACCATCAAGGGCACCTCCAGCCCCTGGACAAACATCGACCTGCAGGGCTCCTGCTGTGAGGGGCACCTCTGCAATAGGGACTCCGTGACCCAGCCCTTCACCACTGCCTCGGGCACCGCCCCTTCCCAGGCGCCCTTCCTCATGGCCCCGCTCCTCATGGTCCCCCTGCTGGTGGGCACTCTGGGAGGACCCCTTGTGCCCCTCTCTTAGACAGCCCCTCCGGCCTTTTTATGAGCAGGATGCTGGGGGCTGGCACGCACCCGCTTCTAGAAACTTCAGCCTCTGTAATGTGGCTCACTGGGAAATGATGTCACACAAGAGTTGCACTCCTGTCTCTCTCTGCCACCACCCCCCACCCCACCACTTCCCTACCCCTGCCCTGCCCATACCCGATCAGCAGGCCTGGGAGACATTGGGAAACATCCCCATCATCCCAGGGTGGGGAGACACAGCCACATCCTGGCCCACATGAAGAGCAGTCCTGACACCAGGGAGGCCCTGGCACCCCACAACCCACTTTCCTCCCTCTAGAGCCAGCATGGAGCTACAAGAATGTCTTTATTTGTATCATCATGAGAGGTTTGAGAGGCAGCATATCCTAGGAGCTAGAGCACAAACTCTGGAGCCAGCCTGCACGAGTTCAAATTTCAGCTCTACCATCTAGCCTGTGGCTAGTTACTCAACCTCTCTGCACCTGTTTCCTCACCTATAAGGCAGAGGTGAAAATAAAATCTACACTAATGACAAGCTCTACTTCGCAGTGGTTGTGTTCAGAATTTAATGAGAGGAACATGGACTACCTGGGACGCAACAGCCACCCAGCGTGAGTTGGGCTATTATCCCAATGCCTGTGAGCAAATGAGAGGCGAGGGCACGTGCTCGCTCCCATGTATCTAGTGAATGGAGAGCCGGGAGTGTGACTCCCAGCCCCATCAACCGCTAGGCAATTCTATGTCCCAAACACACAGGTGTTGATGAATTGGACAGAAAGGCACTTGAGGCAAAGCTGAACCGGGAAAAATTCTCCAACCTGTGGAGATTGAGGGAGACATCCTGGAAGAAGTGAATCTTATGCCAACTCCTTAAGGATAAAGAGGTCTTAGCAAAGAGAAGCAGAAGGAAGGGCATTCCAGGTGGAGGAGACAGCCTGGACACAGATCCAGAGGTTGGGAGGGACACAGGGCAGGCAGAGGTGTATACAGAAACATGGAATGTCCTCTTGTCCACGTCCACTTTTACAAGGTCCTTTCACATCCTGTCCCCCACTTGATCCCCCCGATGATCCTGAGAGGCACACAAGAAAGGTAGTTGCATCCCCATTGGGCAGACAAGTTGCCCAAGACATAGTGAGAGGCAGTGATTTTCAGAGTAAGTGGCAGAGCAAGGATGGATCCCCACATCTAACTTCCTTAATGAAGAGAAAGTCATCTCAGAGATGCTCCTACCTTCCTGTGAGGTCAAGGGGAGAAGTGTTCTAGATGTCTACACATCCTGACATAGAAGGAGAAGCTGAATGTCAATACCCATTCATTCATCACATTTACTGAGCACCCACCATATCCAGGCACTGACCTAGTTTCTAGGCATACAGCAGCAAACAAAACAGGCAAAAGTCCCGACCCTCAAGAAACTAGCTTTTTTTTTTAAGATTTTATTTATTTATTTGACAGAGAGAGAGAGCACAAGCAGGGGGAGCTGCAGAGGGAGAGGGAGAGAGAGAAGCAGACTCCCCGCTGAGCAGGGAGCCTGACGTGGGGCTCGATCCCAGCACCCCGGGATCATGACCCAAGCCAAAGGCAGACGCTTAACCGACTGAGCCACCCAGGCACCTCAAGAAACTGACCTTTCTAGTGTGGGAAGCAGACTTGGGATTTTATTGCAAATGTGATTTGAAGCTGGGATGGTCGGTCTGATGTGTCCACTTGGCTAGGCTACAATCTCAGTTAGTCACTCAAACACTATTCTCAGTGTAAGTACGAAGGTATTTTGTAGATGTAGATATTATAGTCCATGGTCAGGTGACTATGAATAAGGGAGATTATCCAAGATCATCTGGGTGGGCCTGGGTCAGCCAGCTGAAAACGCCTTAAAAGCAGAGCTGAGGCTTGCCTGAAAAAGAAATCCACCTATGGACAGCATCTTCAGCTCGTGCTCGAGAGTTCCAGCCTGCCTCTTCTTACAGCCAGCCCTATGGATTTTGAACTCACCTGGCCAGCCCACGCAATCACATAAGCCTTGCCATAAATCTCTTATCTTAATATATATCTCCAGCAAGTTCTGTTTTTCTGGTTGATCCCATACTGATACAGAATCCATTGGAGAATTTATAGCAGGGAGCTGCCATGTTTCACATAAATATATATCATATAATAGTATATGTATAGTATATTATTATATCTTATGTGGTGTGTACATAATTTTATGTATTATAACATACATATATAATTATATGTATATGTAATTACAGATAATATATAACTTTTTCAATGAAACATAAAACACATACCATAAAATGCACAACGTGCCATTTTTCCATATGTATACACCTGAATAACCTCCACTAGATCAAGATATAGAACATTTCTGGTCCCTGTCCCCAAAGCCTCCCACGTAGCCCTTCACAGGCACTTCCCACCCTGGAGGGAGCCATTACTCTGACTTCTATCATACATCAATTTTGCCTAATATTGAACGTCATATAAATGGAGTCATACAGCGTGTCCTCTTGTGTACATGCTTTACATTTTAGAGATCCCTGTGTCTGGGGCGCCTGGGTGGCTTGAGCCGGCCTGAGCCGGGTCTGCCTTCGGCTCAGGTCATGATCTCTGGGATCGAGCCCTGCATCAGGCTCCTTGCTTAGCGGGAGTCTTGCTTCTCCCTCTCCCTTTGCCCCTCTCTCAGCTCGTGTTCCCTCTCTCTCTCCCTCTCTCTCTCTCTCAAATTTTATTTATTTATTTGAGAGAGAGATAGACAGAGAGAAGGAACACAAGCAGGGGGAGTGGGAGAGGGAGAAGCAGTCTTCCCACTGAGCCTGGAGCCCAGTGGATTTTGTTGGTAGAGCTGACAGGACTTGATACATTGGCTGATGAGTGTGAGGTAAAGACAAAACTCCAAAGTTTTGGCCTGAGGAACGGGGGAAATGGTGGTATCATTTACCAAAGAGAGGGACAGATGGAAGTGAGTGAGAATCAACAGTTGGATGTTCGACATCTGGAATTTTTTTCTGTTTACACTAAGAGCACTTCCATTTGCACAGGGCCTTTCCTTGGGACACAGAATATATACGCAGGTGTATTTCCCCAACAGACATAAGTTTATATATTTCCTCCAAAAGACATATCCTAGAATGTTCCCAGCTGGACAGTTCATAATAACCACAAACTGGAAACAGCTCAAACAATTATCAACAGTAGCATGGATAAATTAATTGTGGCCTCATCACATAGTGGAATGCTATTTAGCAATGAGAATGCACAGTCTGCACCTACAAGCAACAGCATGGATGAGTCTCACAAACAATGTTGAGTAAAAGGACAATACACACAAGAGACCATTCTGCACAATTCCGTTTATACAAGGTTCCCAAGTAGGCAACACTAATGTATACAATTAGAAGTCAGGGGCACCTGCGTGGCTTAGTTAAGTGTCCGACTCTTGGTTTTGGCTCAGGTCATGATCTCAGGGTCGTGAAATCGAGCCCCGCATCAGGCTCCGTGCTCTATGTGCAGTCTGCATGAGATTCTCTCCCTCTCTCTCTGCCCCTCCCCCCATTCGAGTGTGCGTGTGCTCGCTCACTCTCTCTCTCTCTCTCTAAAATAAATAAATAAATAAATACATAAAATCTTTAAAAAAAAAAGTCAGGATACTCAGTGGCTGGAAGAGGGGACAAGGGGATTTCTGGGATCTGGTCCTGTGTTTCTTGATCCAAGAATTCACCCTGCTCTTTACTGATGATTTGTGTCCTTTCTATATGTATATTATTTTCCATAAAAGGTGGGAAAAAAATTTTAAATGCCTTCTTGGTGCAGAAATGTCAAATGGGGGTGGAGAGAAATAAAATATACCCCCTTTCTTAAAGTTATTTATTTGGTTACAACTAATGAGCAAAGGGATAAAAAAGACTTCAGTTAACCATCTCATGACATGAACCCTTGCATGTTAGGTAATGTGTTAAAAGAAAAGGAGCGACTGATTGAATAGATCCAGGAAATGTGGTCTTTACTGTGTTGGTTGGTTGTGAATTATCCAAATGATGTTTAGTATTGTTACTATCTGTGTTCTGACTGAATGGACTTAAATTTGCACATCATTCATCTTGCCTATCCCTTCACACACATATCTTTGTCTTCTTGATCTGTGGTCATCTAACCCTTTTTTACTACTCACTGAACAACTAATTATTGCTATTTCCTAACTGCAGTGCCTGAGAAATATCTGATCTTGATGAGAAGGAAAAGGCAGTGGTGAAGTAGCATGGATGCTATTGACAAAATTTTCATTTATGAATGTCAGAATCACCACCACTACGAATCCTTATATAAAAGAATAAAGGGAAAGAAGAGGCAAGATTAAAAGAAGTTGGTAGATGATAGATAGATGAAAAGATAAAAACGGAAGAAAGGAAGAGAGGAAGGGATAGAGGGGAAAAACAAGTGAAGAAGAAAATACGCGTATCTATAGGAATTGGCAAAGCAGCCGGAGGAAAGGCATCCCAGGTAGGAAGGACAGTACTCACAAAGGCATGGTATGTGTATACAGTGTGAGGAAGGAAGATGAGGATGAAGAGGGTGGCAGGGTCCCTGAAGGGCCTAAATTGTCAGGTGAAGATAAAGTCCCCTGAACTTTTCCCTACAGCTGATGGGGATCTGTGGAAGGGCTTAGAGGAGGGGAAAGGCATGGTGGAAGCCCAGTGATGGGACATTCTCCCTGTGACCTTGCAGGGGACAGACCAGGGGGTAGTGAGACTGGAGACAGGGAGAAGAGAAAGGAGGTGGTCTTTCACTTGTGGTCAGGGGGCCAGGGGCCACATAGTGTTGAAGGGTTGAAGGGAGAAGGAGAAACTAAGAAAGCACAGTGCATGAAGGCTGTGGGTTAGGAGGAGGAAAGTTCCTTATAAGTGGGGATAGTGGTTTCCCCTGGAAATTGGGAAGGGAATATTGTCATAAAGGGGCACCCAGGAAGATTCTGGGGAGTAGCAATATTCTCTCTGGGTGTCCAGGGTGATTTCATGGGGGTTCACAATATAATTATTTGTCCAAAGTAGACCTCTGAATGTTATGTACTTTCTGCACGTATGGTACATTTCATACAAAAAAAGAATGCCAACAGCAAAGTTAAGGCCAGAGCCCAGGTCTTTGGACTCCCATATTGTGGCTTTTTAATCTTTGATGATAGAGGTCAGAATGGGACCACCGCTGCTGTGTCAGTTGCGAGAGAGTACAAGAGACCTTGCTGTGACAATGGAGATGCCCTTAAGCTTGCTCAGGTGCTGGTCACACATGTCCATACACACGTAGAGCTGCATCAATCTGTATACTTAAGATTTGCAAACCTTACAATGTGTAAGCCATACCTCAATGAAAAGAAACAAAATTCAAAATACGACATATAATTAAATAATATCATGTCTGGGATTTGCATTAAAATAATAGAGGAAGTGAGGAAGTGGGTGGAGGTGAAATGCTATTAGCCATGAGTTGGTTGTTGTTAAGTGGGTGCATGGCGGTTTATTATATTCTTCTTTTCAGTTCTGTACGTTTGAAGTTTTCCAAAATAAAAAGTATATACATGAATGTGTGTATACATGAATAGATAAGCACATAAATAGTTAGGACAGATACCTACTGAACACACAGTGACTCAGGCACTCCCTCCCTTGAGAACTCAAATATCTGTCTTCTCTCAATGATTCAGAAGTTCCAGTGCCTAGATGGATCACACACACATCACTCCTTTCCCAAGATTTGTCTGACCTCTCCAGCGTAATAGAAGTGGGAGCCCTAATCAGCACCAAGGACAGATCTGTAGCACTGGGTCTCAGAACCACAAACAGCAACTTCAACTAATTGGGGTGGGGGGACAAAGGACAGGGAAATGAAGAAATGACATCCTTCCCACCTCCAGGACAGTGTGGAACAGGGTAAGAGGGCAGAGTCAAAGGACAGTCAATCAGTACCATTGAATAAGAGCATTCCTTCACAAATAACCATTGGGCATCGCCTATTGCCAGGCACTGTTCTGAACACTGGGGATGACAAGATCCCTGTCCCAAACAATTAGACAAACAAGAAAATAGGATTATTTAGATAATCCAAGTGCCATGAAGACAAAGCAATTAAATAGGATACGGGATTCTTTATGGAGCAGGAGGGGACCATTTTTAAAGAGGTGGTCAAGAAAGAGGCTATATTTGAGCAAAGAACTGGATGAAGCAAGAGAATGATTCATGAGGAGATTGGAGGGCAAAGCACTCAGGCAGAGGGACAAGCAAGCACCAAGATCCTGAGGCAGGAAAGAGCTTGGCAGGTTTGAGGATCAGCAGGAAGGCCAATGTGGTAGAGCAAAGTAAATGGAGGGGAAAATGGCAGGAAGGGTTTTGGCAAGATAGGAATAGACATACAGGAGAAAGAGAGAGAAAAGTATGAAAGAGATCAAAAGAGTCAAAGAAGGGGCTCCAGGGGGTGCCTGGGTGGCTCAGTCAGTTAAGCATCCGACTCTTGATTTCAGCTGAGGTCATGATCTCATCAGGGTCCTGAGATGGAGCCCCCTCCACGCTGGCCGTGGAGCTTGCTTAAGATTCTCTCTCTCTCTGCCCACCCCCTCTAAAAACAACAAAACAAAACAATAACAACAACACATACACCAGGTCCTGTGTCGAGGACTGTGGATAGTCATCTAATTCTCAAGCATCCCTGTGACATGGGTATCATCCCCATTTTACAGGACATACAGCTAAGATCGCAGAGCTAGACGTGAACACTGGTCCGTCCCTAACCCAGGCCGTATGTGTGTTATATTCCACACAAAAATAGTCAGTGGCCACGGCAAGATTTTAACCAAGGTCTGTGGACTCCCAGATTGTGAGATATAATTATTTAATTATACACTATAATTAAGTTAATAATTTATAATTAAATTGACTTAACAAAATGATATACATAATTTTTTTTTAAAGATTTTATTTATTTATTTGAGACAGAGAGAATGAGAGACAGAGAGCATGAGAGGGAGGAGGGTCAGAGGGAGAAGCAGACTCCCTGCCGAGCAGGGAGCCCGATGCGGCACTCGATCCCGGGACTCCAGGATCATGACCTGAGCCGAAGGCAGTCGCTTAACCAACTGAGCCACCCAGGCGCCCCAATATACATAATTTTTTAATGATGTACTACATGTTGGCTAATTGAATTTAATAAAAAAAAAAGATATACATAATTTTTAATTGGTGGGGAACAGAGATATATAAAGGATAAAGTAAACAAAAACAGAGAGAAACAAAAAGGAAAAAAGAAAAAGGCATGCACTTGAAGACAAAGACCAGGATATAGAAACTGAGAAGCAAGGCCAGTGAGATACAGAGAAAGAGAAGCAAAGACTCAGACAGAGTGAGAGAGGTTGACGGAACCACAAAACTTCCTTTAGCTTGGAAGCTCCATGAGGGCAGGGATTTTGTCTGTTTTGTTTTTACTACACCCTCAACACTTAGAGCAGAACGTGGCTCTCGGTAGGTGCTCAATGTATGCTGACAGGAAACTAGCCTGGACAAGCAGGTGCCTGCAGTTTCCAAAGCCACCGTTAGGTGGCAGTATCCCATGCCCTGAAGCCTCCAAATGCCTAAATCAAAAAGACCAGCCGTGGTGGATTTGCCTCCACAAGCCTCTGACTTTCATGAAGGATGTCTTCCTCCTGGCTCAGCCCCGCCTTTCCCTGCACAAGCCCGGGGCGACGAGTGACCTTTCCGCCTGAGACACCCGCTTCACTCCCTCCACCACCCTGCCCAGTTAAACAAGCCTTTGTCCTTAGCCCCTTCCGGCTGGGCCCCAAGGCACCTGGGTCCTTTCCAGGCCCGGAGATGGGGCTGGGATGAAGGTGGGGCAGCTGGGACAAGGCCAAGGAAAAGTCCCAGGGACTTTGGAATCAGTTCTAGCCTTCCTGGACCAGGAGTGTGTGATCCAGCCCCTTCCTCCCTCACACCCCCAACCCCTCCTCCCTCAGACCCAGAGTCCGGCCCCATACCCCCTCCTCCCTCAGACCCAGAGTCCAGCCCCATACCCCCTCCACCCTCAGACCCAGGAGTCCAGGCCCCCAGCCCCTCCTCCCTCAGACCCAGGGGTCCAGACCCACAGCCCCCTCCTCCCTCAGACCCAGGGGTCCAGGCCCCCAGCCCCCTCCTCCCTCAGACCCAGGAGTCCACACCCCTCGCCCCTCCTCTCTCAGACCCAGGAGTCCACGCCCTCAGACCCAGGAGCCCAGGCCCCCAGCCCCCTCCTCCCTCAGACTCAGGAGTCAGGACCCCCAGCCCCTCCTCCCTCAGACCAAGGAGTCCACACCCCCAGCCCCTTCCTCCCTCAGACCCAGGAGTCTACACCCTAGTCCCTCCCCGCCTCAAAGTCCCATGCAGCAGCCCACCTCCTCCTCTGAGGGGGACAACCTAGGCAGAGAGGTCCTCTGGTATTCCTCCTCCCTCTTTTTTACAGAGACCCTTCTCCCTCTCCACTTCCCCCTTCAGGGTTGGGACGGAGGGCTGAGTCACAGGAAGCTCTGGGGCCCTGAGTCACCCCCACCCCCTGGCTCAGCCCCTCCCTGGGCTGGAGGGAGCTGGCTCTGGAGCTGTGTGTCCTACCGACTGACCCCCACATCCCAGAACTTCCGTTTGGAGGCAAGTGCCTTTCCCACTGTGACCCCATTGCTGCCCACCCTGGCCTCTCCCATGGCCGCCTTCACTCCGTTTTTCTCTCTTAGTTGTGGTCTCTTTGGAGATGAAACTTCTGTCTGCTCTAACTTCCATGTCCTGATCTGGGCGTCTGCTTTCCCTTCACCTCCATGTCTCCTCTCTCCACCTCTTTGATTTTTTCAAATTCTCTCCCCCTCTCAGTCTCTCTCCCCGCCTGGCTGGACCCCTCGGGGTCTCTCTGATTGCTCCCCCTGCCCCATCAGTTTTCACTAGGCCCCGCACTGAGGATCGGTGGCTCAGGGGCTGGGTCTGGAGGTCTCCGTTCCGAGGCCTCTGACTCGGGCAGCCGCAGCCTGTGTCTCTGGCCTCTTGCCCCTGAGTGGGGCTGGTGGAACCCGAAAGGGCAAGGCTGCCCCCAGCTGCGCTGGTGGACGGAAGAGAGCAACTGAGGCAGAGACAAGCATGGAGAGGTCCAGAGAGAGGCAGAACCAGAGACAGAGAGACAGAGAGAGGCCCAAAGGGAGGTCGGGAGGCAGGGAGACAGGGAGGCAGAGAAACTGAGTCATAGGCAGAGACACAGAGAGCACAGAGATGGAGATAGAGGGATGGTTACAGGGAGAGAGCATGAAATAGAAAAACAGGGGGACACAAAGATGGAGACAGAGACAGAGATGCTAAGAGAGGCACAGAGACACAAAGAGGCTGAGAGACACAGAGCCAGAGAGAGAGAAATGGCAACAGACACATGGATGGAGAGAGTCAGAGATACTGAGAGACAGAACCGGAAGAGACAGAGGTCAAGAAACAGGGGAGAGGACAGGAGAGACAGGCAAAGGCAGAGACAGAGGCTTCCAGAGCAGGAGAGACTGAGGGAGGAGGGAGGTAAGGCCCGAGAACCCGAGAGGGAGGAGGAGAGGAGCAGAGAGACCCCTGCCAGGCCACAGGGGTGGCAGGTAGCAGGGGGGGCCCCCGGCGGTAGCGTTTGCTCCCAGCGGGCACGTGCATGGTGTCTGGGTGTGCGCGGCTGTGTCTCCACACTCTCCCCGCTCTCCCCCCGCGTCTCACCCAGAGTGGGAACCACACGTGTGCCATGGAGCGGGCGGAGCACCCGCACGCGTGGTGTTTTCGTCGCCGGGCGTGTCTGCGTGGGTTGTGTTGGTGCGTTGCCAGGCATGTCTGTGCGTGAGTGTCTCGTTTCCCCGTGGCTGGCGGGTCCACGTTCCTGCATGACAGATGACACGCGAGGGAGAAGGGTTGTGTCTGCGAGTTCCCTCTCCAGTGGGACCCGCGGGGCCGCCGGCTGGGTCTCGGAGGTCAATGTGTGCAGGTGTTTTGTGTCACCAGGCCGGTGTCTCCCCAGGGTTTGGATCTGTTTCCCGACGTCCGGGACACCGTACGTGCTGCTGCATGCAGTGACAGTCCACGTTGCGGGTCACCCTGGGAGTCGCGGTGCATCACCCTGCACTGCATTTGCTGTTCCGTATGTCACTGTGTGTTGTGTCTCTGTATGTGCATTGTGCATGTCAAGGTGAGCTATCATTCAGAGATGTGACCCTGTGTGTCACACCCAGGGGTGTGTCCATTTGGGCGGGCTCTCCTTTCCCTGCCGAGAACACAGCCTGGGTGCCCACACTCGAGAGCATGCTGTGTTTGTGTGGCTGTGTATTACACCGCACCGGAGGGTGTCCCCTGGGGGTTGGGTGTGGTGTTGTTGCAGGCCCAGGTGTTGGCTGTGTCAGTGGGTCACACCTGACGTTTTATGTGATCCGTGGTGTTCAGAAAAGGTTGTGTTGGGAAAAACTGTGGCAGCGTGTTTTCTGTCACTCTGTGTTTGTGCGTTGGAGTAGATGGTGTGCCGGGCCGTGGGTGGGCGTGGTTCGGATGTGGTTTGTCAGTCAGAGGAGATGATGCATTTGGGCATCAGGGTCCATGTAGCCTGAGCCCCCTCCCCAACCCCTGGGGTACCATTCTGGGTCGTGTCCCTGGGATGCACCAAAATAGATCAGAATGTCTTACTTTGTGCTGTTTGGGTTTCTGTATGTGTCGCTGTGCATTGTGGGTCTCTGCACGTGTCCGTTCACACTGTTCTGACCATATGTTGGAGGGCTCTGGATGTGGGGCGTGTTGCATGTCGTGGTGAGTCTGTATGTACCGCCAATCGTATATATTTGACTTGCCATGTGCCACAATGTGTCTCCGCGTGCATTTCTCTATGTGCTGGGTGCTCGAGGGCTGCCATGGCGTGTCCCCAAACGTTGTGTGTCTGCACATGTCAGCTACCATTCCACGGGTGTATCACGTTGGGACGCTGTTAGCGCCTGGTCCATACAGGTATGCTGAGTGCAGCATGTGGGTGTCACTAAGTAGAATGTTGTGTGTCCGCGGAACCACTGGTATGTGTTGTGCTAATGCAGCAATAGAGTCTGGGGGTGGCTGTTTGTGCAAGAAGATGTTGTAACAGTTACAAACGCAGTCTCTGTGCCTGTGTGTGGACAGTTTGGGTGGTCATGGGCGCCCCGGGGCACTGCCTGCCGTGCTGAGTGCCGGCATGTGTCACACCATCCGTGTGGTGTCTGGGTGTGGCTGTGGGTTGCAGAGCTCATCGGGAGTTGTGAGTCACTCACTGTAGGTTGTGTTGTGTGCCCCGCGTGTGTTCGGTTCCGTCTCTGGCCGTGCTGTGTGTGAGGGTTTATCCCCCCCCCCCCCCCCCCCCCCCCCGTGTCTTGCGGTGTCTGGGTGTGGCTGAGTTTAGGTGTGTGTTACAAAGCGCAGACCGTTGTGTGTGACGCAATCTATTGTGTGCCAGTGTGTGTCTTTATCCACGTGGATGCACGCCTCTTCCTTGCTCTGCCCCAGGACACACCCCAGTCCCTCCTTAGGCTGAGAAGGGAGGTTGGGGAGCCTCCCCTCTGCCCAAGGGCCACGCCAGCCCCTCCCTGCCCTGCCCAGCCGTCACCACCCCCCGAGGGCACAGACTCCTCTGTGCCTCAAAGCAAGAGCCCCAGAGTGAGGAGCAGAGCAGGCCAAGGACCTGCAAGCCACAGTGGCTGCCCTTTGTGTGCTGCGAGGTGGGGGACCCTGGGCAGGAAGCTGGCTGAGCCCCAAGACGGCAGGGGCCATGGGCGGGGAGCTGGTGCCAGGCCTGGGGGCCCTGCAGAGGCGCAAGCAGCTGCTGGAGCAGGAGAAGTGGCTGGCTGGCTGGGCCCTAGTGCTGGCGGGAACTGGCGTCGGACTCATGGTACTACACGCGGAGATGCTATGGTTCGGAGGGTGCCCGGTGAGTGGAGCTCTTGTCCTGGGCTATGGGAGGCTGGGGGCTGAGACTCCTGGGTCTGAGGGGGGAGGGGCTGGGGGTCCGGAGTCCTAAGTCTGAGGGGGGAGGAGCTGGGGGTCTGGACTCCTGGGTCTGAAGGAGGAGAGGGGGCTGAGACTCCTGGGTCTGAGGGAGGAGGGGCTGGAGGTCCGGAGTCCTAAGTCTGAGGGGGGAGGACCTGGGGGTCTGGACTCCTGGGTCTGAAGGAGGAGAGGGCTGAGGTTCTGGATTCCTGGGACCCAAGGGAGGTAAATGCTCAGAGCTGTCTCTGCAAAAGGAAGGGAACAGGGGTCACAGTGCCTCAGTCTTTGAAGGTTTTCAGTGGGACAGCTGGACGTCCGGGACCCCTGGAGGCCAGGGGGGTGGCTGATCAGATCCTCCAATCTCCCAAGAACAGATCAGGGGAGAGGTAGCCTCAGGTTCAGCGAAGGGAGGGTGGGGAGAAAGATTAACTTCTTCCAAGTAGGCGGCAGCTCCTTGGTCCTTATCTAAACTCAGGTTTACCCAGTGCCTCAGCAGCAGCGAAGGGCAGAGACTAAAAGAAACTGGCTGGGGTGGGGGTGGGATATGGAAAACAACCCCCTGCCCCTCCCATGTCCATCATTCCCAGCCTCCCCAGGGTCTGCAAGCTATTTAGTCTGGGGCACAGTGGAGAAGTAGGTGTACAATGGCTTAGACTCCTAGGTCCCAGGGGAGGGGGCTGGGAACCCAGGCTCCTGGGTCTGAAGGAGGCTTAGAGCGTCTTTGGGGGGAAGGGGGGCCTGACTGAGGATAGTGTGAGTGGGGAGGAAAAGGACAGGTGGGGCCAGGACCGGTCTGAGCAGGCTCTCGGCACATTCCAGCCTCGGTCTGGGCAGCAATGGGGCAGATGGAGGACAGGGGTCAGAATCAGTGGATGAAGGACAGAACAGAATTGCTTAACCGGAAAGGAGGGGTTGGAGAACTGTCTAGAGTAAGGAATGTGGAATCGGGCTGGCTGGGGGGCGCTGATGTGAGGATTGAGTTGGGGGGCATTCCTGGAGGAGGGAAGCTCAGGCTTGGATTCGGGGGCCGCGGAGGAGGAGGGCAGTTCCGAAGTGACCAGGAGCCACATGGAGGGTCAGGGCAGGCCAGCTTCCTCTGGCCGGGCAGCTGAGGCCAGGGCAGCAGGCACAGAGGGGGTGGGGCCGCCGAAACCCATGCCAACAGGAAGCATGGCCAGGGCCTACCCGCCGCTCCCACGCTTCAGCACCCCACCCAGCAGGGGAGGTGGGGACCTGAGCTCCTGGCAGATGGGAAGGGACAGGGGGTCTTTCCTACCCCACTCCCTCTCTTCCCCTTCTCACCTCTCATTTCTTCCTTCCCTCTGCCATCTGCCAGGCTGCTGCCTCCAGCAGCTGGACTCTGGGGAAGCTGCTGCAGCTTTCTGAGCCTCAGTTTCCCCATCTGTAAACTGGGGGTGAGGGGTGAGATATGTGGCCCTAGGGGTCCTCCTCAGCCCCCTTTCTACTTGTGCCTCAACAACATCCATGCCTCCTCCCCACCTCCATCTCAGTCTTAGGAGCTCATTTTGCAGGGACCCAGACACCTGCTCCCCAGGGGGAGGGGCTGGAGGGGAGGAAGGTGCCCAAGTGGGGGAGTGCAGGGGAAGAAGATGGAGATATCAGCAGGGGGAGGGGCGGAGAGAGACTGCGACTGAGAGACAGAGACACTGAGAGACAAAGGCGGTGTGAGACAGAGACGACGATGCAGTAAGAGACAGAAGTACAGCCACAGAGAAAGACAGAGCTCCCCAAGTTGAGATACACACAGAGAGATGGAAAGTCTGACAGAAACAGAGACCCTCAGACATAAGTAGAGATTGAAACAGAAGCATCCCCAGAGACAGGGAAATTTCAGACTGAGTCAGGGATTTGGGGGAAGAGGAACCAGCCAAGTAGAGAGAAGTGGTGTGCAGTGTGGGCAGGGGGTATGTCTAGTGGAGTAGAGTTTGGGACAAACTAAAGAAAGAGACAGGGAACCAGGGAGCCTTAGAAGGATGAAGGGGTAGGGGAGGGCTAAGAACAACAGCACCACTGTTCGGGGAGGGCTGGGGGGGCAGGCCCCCTGGGGCAGGAAACTGGCCCTCTTCCCCTGCACGGAGGTGGGGCCCTGGCCCTGCAGTGGGGAGCTGGCAGACATCTGTGGAGAAACAGGTGCTAAGCTCAGCATGGGAGCCCAGGTGGATCCTTCTCCCTGACAACACTCCTCACACAGGGTCCCCTCCCCACTCCTCTGAGGGAATCCAGCAGTCCCAGTCCCCACTAAACCTCTCCTTCCAGAATTCTAGATCTCTCCAAGGTATTGCCACACAAAGAGAGGGGGAAAAAAATCTCTCTGTGGTTTTTGGAGGCCATGTGCTTCCGGCCAGATCTGCCCTGGGCTTAGAGCCAGAAGAGAGGGCAGGGGGAAGGAGATGCAGGGGCCAGGGCCCCTGAGAGACCAAGTGCCCTGGGTGGGGCGGGGAGTGGGAGGGTGTCATTCACTCCCTGGGTATTGGGTGATCATTTCTAGGCTCCTTGGGGAATTGGGAAGGTGGTAGGACCTTCTAGGGCAGGTTGCTTTCTCAGGCCGGACCAGCTGTGTGGTCAGGGAAGGGAAGGGGAGCTTTTTAGAGGCCAGATGTCTGTTTCTAGACCTCCCCACTCCCCCACCCCCTAACTGAGGAACTATTTTTGGTGGGGAAGGGGATGGGGGAATTAGAAAGGGCTGTAAGTTGCAAGGTCTCCCCTCAGGTGTGGATCCTAGGAGAATGGCTGAAGAGGAGGGTATATACTGGCGTCTGAGCCAGGGCTGTCAGTCTGGGAAGGAAGAGGGCACTCTCCCTGGGGACCAGATGATGGGTTTGAGAGTTCCCCCAAACTGAGACATCGGGTGGAATCAGGTTGGGGGGGGAACAGGCAGGGAGGAATGGGTGGAGGAGGCCAGGAGATTGGGAATTGAGAAGGGATGGCATTATGGGAGGAAGATGGAGGGAACTGACCAGTTGGGGACCTAGGATCTTACCCCTTTTTCTGTCCCTCCCCACAGTGGGCGCTCTACCTGTTCCTGGTTAAATGCATGATCAGCATTTCCACCTTCTTGCTCCTTTGTCTTATCGTGGCATTTCACGCCAAAGAGGTCCAGGTAGGGCAGGCCCCACCCCTGGGCCCCTTCCTTGCTCCCCCCAGCCCCCACCACTCCCTGTCAGCTCACACTTTCCACCCTCCTCCTCCTCCTGGTCTGAGTAATGAGGTTTCTCCACCCTGAGATTTGTCCACACCCTCACCCACGAAGATGAGAATAACCACAGATAGACAGACTGAGTCTCCTGGAGCAACCCAGTCCCATGCTCCACCTGCAGCCCTGTCTCCCCTTGCATGCCCATGGATGCTGAGAGCTCCCACCCCCAGGCAGCCTCACTCCAGGCCCAGCCCCCCAGATCTCTGTCCTCCATCCCTGAGGACCCACCTATTCTAGCCCCAAGCAATCTGAAATCCAGGCTATGCGCCTGAGGGTCCTTCCCTACTCCTGAGCTCCCCACCTCTGTGCCAATTACCCCCTATACCCGGGGGGGGGGTCTTCCCACCCATTGCCCCCCTCCCATGTCGTGTCCCACCCAGACACTCAACTCTCCACCAAGCTCTCCCCTCATCCCATCCCCCACATCCCTATATCCTGTTGCCTTTACCCCTTCCCCCATCCCCCGAAACCTTTGTATATAAAATGCGGGTTATCCATCATGTGTAGTAATTCCCCCTGCAGTGCCTGCTCAGTAAAAAGTACATAATAGCAGTCATTGAAACAGTTAAGTGGCCTGGATCTGTGGCTCAGCTGTGCTGCTACACCTGAGAGACCTGGGCCTCAGTTTCTGCATCTGTAAAATGGGGGTAAAAAGGCTTTCAGTTTCACTGTGTTATGAGCATCCCCTGAGTCATAACATGCAAAGGAGATAGAGCAGTGCCTGGCCCGTTCGTTCGAAGTGCCCTGTAAATGTTCGCTATTGTCATTGCCAATGGTATATGCGGTTTTCAGTTAGTTACTACCCCTGCCCCCAGAAACAGGAGGAGATGGCTCCGTGCATCTGGACTGTAAGCTCCGGGGAGGCAAGGCTTTCTGCTCTGTGCACCTGTATCTTCAATATATAGAACAATGTGGGGTACACAGGAAATTCTGGAAGTGGGCTGAGACTGAGGGCGAGGGGGTGAGGAAGAAAGGGGAGAGACGTCCTCCTGAAGGTCCTGTCCCACTCCTTCCCCACCGGCCCCGGGCTGTTGGGCGCGCCCCCCCATCTCTCCTCATCTCTCGGCTCTGGCAGGCGGGAGGCCGCCTGACCATCGTGTCACCCCCTCCCCCGTCTGTCCCCTCCCCGCAGTTGTTCATGACCGACAACGGGCTCCGGGACTGGCGCGTGGCGCTGACCGGGCGGCAGGCGGCGCAGATCGTGCTGGAGCTGGTTGTGTGCGGGCTGCACCCAACGCCGGTGCGGGGTCCGCCGTGCGCCCAGGGTTTGGGGTCCCGGCCCAATGCGACGCAGTCCTGGCCGGGCTTCCTGGATGAGGGCGAGGCACTGCTGTCGCTGGTCATGCTGCTGCGCCTCTACCTGGTGCCCCGCGCCGTCCTCCTGCGCAGCGGCGTCTTGCTCAACGCGTCCTACCGCAGCATCGGCGCCCTCAACCAGGTCCGCTTCCGCCACTGGTTCGTGGCCAAGCTGTACATGAACACGCACCCCGGCCGCCTGCTGCTCTGCCTCACACTTGGCCTCTGGCTCACCACCGCCTGGGTGCTGTCGGTGGCCGAGAGGTGAGGGTGCTGGGGGTGAGCGGTGGGGGGTCCCTGGCGCATCTGAGGAGCCGTTCACAGCCACAGCTGCCCCGGGCAGTGGTACAGCTTGGGCCCCTTTGGGCCAAAGCAGAGGAGAAAGCTGTTTGTCCACACTCATCCACTGGGGTGGGAGGAACCAGCCGGCCAGCTCTGCCCTTCCTCCACCCGCCGCCTCCCGTCTCCCCAGGCACACACACACCCTAGCAAGCCCTTCCTTTCCTGCCTCCACACCTGTCCTGCCTCAGGTCTCGGGGCACCTGTTCAGTCTCTAAAGCCAGGTGCTGGGGCCCAGCCAAAAGTTGCAACTGCCTCCTTGGAGGACGGTGACACCTTTTCTGAATTAGCACAGATGCCCTGTAGGTGCTCCCCACGATCCTGGGGCGGTGGCAATTTGGGGCTTCTCTGGAAGGGAATTTCCTGCAGGGAATGGATACAGGATTCCAGGCTGCCTGCTGGACAGACTGGAAGCCGGGCCTCAGGTTCTCTCTCTTACAGATAAAGAAAGTGATGGTAATCTTAGCCAGTGGGTCTTAAAGTGTGGTTCCAGGACCGGCAGCATCACCTGTGAACCTACTGCAAATCCAAATTCTCAGGCCCTACCCACACCTACCAAATCCAAAACTCTGGCAGGTGGGGACCCAGCAATCTGTTTTAACAGGGGATTCTGACCCAGGCTCAAGTTTGGAAACCTCTGGTTTGGTACATCTGGCAAAGGATTCTTCTTTTTTTTAAGATTTTATTTATTTATTTGACAGAGAGACACAGCTAGAGAGGGAACCCAAGCAGGGGGAGTGGGGGAGGGAGAAGCAGGCTCCCGGCTGAGCAGGGAGCCCGATGCGGGGCTCGATCCCAGGACTCTGGGATCATGACCTGAGCCGAAGGCAGACGCTTAAGGACTGAGCCACCCAGGCGCCCCTGGCAAAGGATTCTTGAGGGGAAGTGGGGAATGACAAGAACTGGCTTTAGATCCTTCCTCTCCGACCGTCTGTTTCCTCATCTGTAAAAGGGGTGTCACATTTTACCATCTTTCAAGTTTCCCCAGCAATTCTCATCTCTCAGGATTTTAAACTCATTCATCTTGTAGGATGTTTTCCTCCCACCATGTTTCTCATCTGAAAAATGGGAGGGTAGGCAGGAGGTCAAATTTCTGAACCCCAAGGCAGAAGTTCCTCAAACCTGAATGTACTTCTGGATGAGGGGAGCAGGGCCTAACAGTGCAAATTCAGTCCCCACCTTCAGACACTAGATTAGTGGGTCTGACATGTCTGGGGCCTCATGAATGAAGCTTTCCCTACTGACCCTGATGCAATGGTCTGCGGGCTCAAGTTTAGATACATCAGGATTTTCTGTCCCTTCCATGGCTGGAACTAAATGTCCCCTTCTATGAAGTGAGGGGAAGGGAGGGCAGGGTCCTGCCTTTTTAGTCTTGACAGGGCCACCTGTAGGCCACAGAGCATCTTTATGGACATTAGAAAAAAGCACTCCTGGCTGGCCTAATCAGTGGAGTGTGCAACTCTTGATCTCGGGGTTGTGCGTTTGAGCCCCACGTTGTGTGTAGAGATTATTTTAAAAAAGTAATAAGAATCTTTTTTAAAAAGTAGAAGAAGAGAAAAAGTCGCCCCTTCCCTCTGGGTGGATGCTGACAGGGTGTGACAAGAGGACTTTGGGCTGGGTTTCTGCCCCCTCTCAACCCCTCAACCTGCTCTGAAAGCAGCAGTCCTGGTAGCCCAGCTAAAACCAAACAGGCTTTGAAATTGGCTGGATCCAGGTTCAAATCCCACAGCCCAGAGTGGCTGAGCGAATCTCGCCCAGCTCATACAGCTGAAAGGAAGCCAGGCAGGCCCTCCAAAGCCCAGAACTTACTTTTTCTCTGAGTGCTTCTGGGGACTGTAGGTGTGTTAGGAAGGAGAGTATCAGACATCACGGGAACCCCTGGGGTAGCGTTTCGGGACTAACCCATTCTTCCCCACAGGCAGGCCGTTAATGCCACCGGACACCTTTCAGACACACTGTGGCTGATCCCCATCACATTCCTGACCATTGGCTATGGAGACGTGGTGCCAGGCACCGTGTGGGGCAAGATTGTTTGTCTCTACACTGGAGTCATGGTGAGTACAGCCCCCTCAGGGACCCTGCCCCTACCCCCAACTGCTTATCCCCTGGGCCCAAAGAGATCATGGAGCCAACAAAGGCACCCAAGGCCCCCCCTCCCAAGAAACTTGGGTGTCTGGATGCCACAGCCCCATTTCATTTCAAAATCCAGGAATCCATCCCCTAAGTCCTTGCTCTCTTTGGAACTTAGGACCCTAGGCCCCACCGTCCTCGGGAACACAGGCCCCTGACTTCCCAGCCCCATTTCCTTCCAGAATCCAGGAATCCAGCCCTGAGCCTCACGAAGGCTCAGACATCCTGCCCCTCAGCCCCCTGCCCTCCCAATCATCTAGGACACAGGCCCCTGGTTTCCCAGCTCTAGGCTCCTCCAGGACCCAGGAACCCAGTCTCCAGCCTCCATTAAGGCCTCATCAAAAGCATGCCTGTGGGGTCAGCCTGCCTGGCTTCAATTCCTACATCTGCCACTTCCCAGCCAGGATCAAGCCTGTAATCTCCCAGTTTCCTCATCTATAAAATGGGGGTGCTGATACTAGTGTACTCCTCATGGAGCTCCTGAGATGAATTAAACCACGTAAAGGGTCTCAGCACCCAGCACACAGGAAATGCTCGGTAAATGGGTCAAGGGGTGGGGGGGTGGGGAGGGAAGGCTTTTATTTGTAACTGGCCCCAAGCATCCAGCTGCCCCTACTCTAGCTCATGTCAGATATGAAGCAGAGGCTCCCCAGAGTCGGCCTCCTCCTGAATCCAGACTTCTACCATGTTCCCTTCATAGACCCAGGCATCCAGTTCCCCCTACCTAGCCCCTATCCTCTTCCAGGACCCAGCACCCAAGGCCTTGGCCTTCACCTACGCATGAGCTCTGGCTCCTCCCACCCTCAGAAGCTCAGGCTGCCAGCCCCAGCCCTGATGTCCCAGAAAGGATATGCTACATTTCCACTGGTGGTGCATGGGGTGATGAGGAAGTGTGATCCCCTCTCCACAGAAGTGGGAAAGAGGGGCAGAGATGCAGCCAGGGAAGCACTCCCAAAGGGTCAGGGACCCTCAGGGCTGCCTGGGACCTCCTCCCTCATTTGACACCAAGAGAAACAGACCAAGAGAGATCAGGCGATTTGCACTTGAGCTCACAGCCCACCTCCTGGCAGAGAGGTTCCCCCCAAAATGGAATCATCGTAACTAACTTTATCGAGTACATACTCTGTACCAGACACTGCTCTGATCACTTTCCGGGTGTTAGCTGAAGGAATCCACAGAGTACTACTGTGAGGGCACGCCCATCGTACAGGGAAGAAAGTGAAACCCTGAGAAATTAAGTAACGTGCTCAGAGCTGGGCTTGGAACACGAGCGGTCCTGGAGCCAGCATTTGTGACTAGTAAATTGTTCAGAGTTTTCATGAGCTGAGACACAGCTTGGGAAAGGGGAAGACTTCAGAAGAAAATTCACTGTAACTCAAGGAAGAGCAGCAGGTACCACCAAACAGCTGATGGATCAGAGGCCTAGGGAGAAGGGGAGAGTGTTCAGACCAAGATGCTCGGGCAGGTGAGGCAGAATGAGGCCAGGCTAAGTTGTCTGGAGGAGAGGCCTAGAGCTCTGAAGGCTCTGAAAGCAAGGGTAAGAAGTTTGGGGCAGTGGGAGCCTAGATTAGGGTAAGGGGGGCAGGGTCATAATTGTTAGATCTCCCTAGCATCGGGTCAGGAGAGAGGAAAGCTGGAGATGGTCCAGGAGGGAAGGGACGGGGCCAGAACTGAGCAGGAGCCATGGGGGTGGGAGGAAGGGGAGGGACACCTTTGGTGACCTCATGGCCAACTGGGTGTGAGCAGTGGGGAGGAAGGGCTCCCGCAGGAGCCCGACCTCTGCCTCTCACCCAGAATCAGCCCTTCTCCCCTTCTCCAATCACACCTTTAACAAAAGAGGGCATTCTGGTGGTATAAACACTACACATGCAAGTGGGACTCAGACGCATGACCTCTGATTCTAGCTCTACCCCTCGGGGCTGTGGGACCCCGGTTCCCCTCTCTGGGCCTGCTTGTCTGTCAACCAGGGGTGGTCTTGCCTGCCTTCTGTGGCTGTCGGGAGGGGTGAGGGAGTCTGATGGCACAGGAGCCCCCCAGCCCTCCTGTCATAGTGTCTGCTGTGCCCACAGGGGGTCTGCTGCACAGCCCTGCTGGTGGCTGTGGTGGCCCGGAAGCTGGAGTTTAATAAGGCAGAGAAGCATGTGCACAACTTCATGATGGACATCCAGTACACCAAGGAGGTGAGAACGGGCACATGGCACCCACAGCACATGCCTCCCTCAGACCCGGGAGTCCAGACGCCGTCCCCCTCGTCCCAGAGCCCTAGAGGTCTGCCTCCACTGACACTGTGCCCACCCCCAGATGAAGGAATCAGCTGCCCGAGTGCTGCAAGAGGCCTGGATGTTTTACAAACACACGCGCAGGAAGGACCGTGGGGCCGCCCGCAAGCACCAGCGCAGGCTGCTGGCTGCCATCAACAGGTGAGGGCCTCTCTCTGTGCACATCTCCTCCCTTCTGCATGGTGTGTGTGAGCGAATGTGAGTGTGTGCCCAGGTCAGGACACCCGTGTTTGGGCTCACCAAACAGTGTCCACCCAGACCTCACGGTGACTCTGTCTGTGATGGCTTGTCTTGCACGTCTGCGTCCGTGGGTCCGTGCCACCCTTGTCGGGGTCAGGATACCTAAGAGATGGGCTCAGGGGTGCTCTACCTCTGGCACCTCTTCCTCACCGGACCGCGTCTATGTGAGTCTCTCCTCTCCTTATCCCATCCCCGAGCTGGGGTCACTTCTGACCTCCGGCTTCTTCCCACAGGTTCCGCCAGGTGCGGCTGAAACACAGAAAGCTCCGGGAACAAGTGAACTCCATGGTGGACATCTCCAAGGTACCAGGGCCCTGTGGGAGGAGGGGTCTGGAAGGAAAGGGAGGTCGGGGCGGCTGGCAGGGACATCTGGCCCCAGCATAGCGAACACTGGCAGGGGTCTGGCACACACACGCACTCGACAAAGGGTTGTGGTTGAATGAATGATATGATGGTTTCTTAAACTCATGGAGGGGACTGATCCCTTTCAAGCTTAAAAAAAAAAAAAAGGAAGAGAAATTGCACAAAGAACTCCAGTGTTTGGTTTTACATTATTTTTATTGTCGAGTTAATGTGGACGGATATAAAATTCCTTCCAGGGGCACCTGGGTGGCTCGGTCGTTAAGCGTCTGCCTTGGGCTCGGGTCGTGGTCCCAGAGTCCTGGGATTGAGCCCCACATCCGGCTCCCTGCTCAGCGGGAAGCCTGCTTCTCCCTCTCCCGCTCCCCCTGCTTGTGTTCCCTCTCTCTCTGAGTCTCTGTCAAATAAATAAATAAAATCTTTAAATAAATAAATAAATTAAATAAAATTCCTTCCAACTATGACTCTTAAGACAACAATAAAACCAAAGCAAACATACAAAAACCAAGTTCAAACACAAATGGCAAAACCAATAAAACGCAAATTAACAACACTGACGCAGATGGGGCACATTGTTTCAGTAAAAGTCAGTAAGAGGGGCCCAGAGCCACAGGGGCTTCTGTGCTGGGCAGGCTTGCCTGGCCGAGGCAGACTCAGCTTGCCCTTCTTCGGCTGGGACCACCTGATTCAGCTAGTGCTTAGGGATGGTGATGTCACACCCGTTCTCTTGGCTCACAGCACCTTTTGCTTATCAAGCGGCCTTTGCTTTTTCTCATTAGCCCGAGACAAATCGAACAGTGGCCCTTAGCATCAATACCATGGCAAGCACAATCAGAGACGTGGGCCCACAAGGCCTGCATGGCAGGTCTCAGTGAGGAGGTGGTGGCCTAGATCTGCCAGAATTGGCAGGTCATAATTTCTGAAGATTATCCAGCCAAAAACTGAGAATTAAAGAATTCTCACAGAAAGCTCACACACCCTCAGGGATGAAGCTGTGACTCCTAGTTTGAGAAGGTAATGAAAGGGCTATGTGGATTTTGAAGTCATTTATCAATTCCACAAATACTAGGTGAGCACCTACCTTCTATGTACCAGGCTTTACTCTAGCTGCTGCCTTGGGCATGTCATTTAACTGCTCCAGGCCCGTTTCCATAGTTGTAAAAACGGGAACAGAATTCTCACTCCCCACACTTTTAAGAGGATTTAAACCATGTGTGAAAAGCACCGAGCCAAGCAGCTGGGATAAGGAGGAAGTCTACCTCAGCCTGCTGATACCTCCGACCCTCTCTCTGCCCAGATGCACATGATCCTGTGTGACTTGCAGCTGGGTCTGAGCAGCTCACATCAGGCCCTGGAGAAGCGGATGGATGCACTGGCAGGGAAGCTGGACACCCTGACTGAGCTGCTTAGCACTGCCCTGGGGTCGAGGCAGCTTCCAGAACCAAGCCAGGAGGCCACGTAGCTGGTGAGGCGGCTGGGACTCGGGCAGAAAAACATCCTGGAGAAAGGGTGCCTGTGGATAGCACCTCATGTGGCTAAAGGGGGAGGGGATGGCCTTGGAGACAATGCTACTCTTTCTCTTCTGCTCTGCCTGTCTGGAGGAAAGGACTCTAAGTTTGGGGCTAGACGGGCAGGGGAGGAAGGAGACATTCCTTCTCCCCTTTGCTGACCCTCAATACCCTGTCCTTTTCTTTGTGTGGTCTGTCTGCCTGTCCCTGGACATGTTCCCGGTCTCTGTCCAAGTGCCCAGTCTCTTGGTGACAGGAACACCCATCCTCTTCCTTCCTCCTCGGTCCACTGGTGTCTATCTGTCTCCACCTCAGTGTCCCTGCTCTTACTCTCCCTCTGGTTTCTGGCCTATCTATCCATCTCTCTGCTTGTCTCCCCAGGACCCATGGAGGAAGAACCAAGCTACTTTCCCCAGGACTGAGGTGGAGGACATTGTCCCTGCTACTCCTGACCCAGCCCTATGAATAAAGCACCTCAAGTGCAAGGACCAAAGGGGCCCCACCTTAGGGTGGGCTCACTCACTGATGGCTGCTGGAGACGACACTGGCTCAAGGAGAAAGGCTGTGGCCACACACACACACACCCAAACCCCTGCCCCAAATGGGAAAATGGTCACTACTACCCCATATACCCTGGACAAAACATCCTTACTATGCTGCTATGGATGACCTCCAGCTTTCAGTTAGAAGTGGAGATGCCTGGGGGCTGAGACTCCTGGGTCCCAGAGGAGGAGGGGGCTGAGACTCCAGGGTCCCAGAGTCCAGGATCCTGGGGTGCCTTAGTTACCACTGGATAGCGGAGCTAAAGGAACCAGGCCTGAGGCTGAGGTGGCAGGAGGGAGCGCCCCCTGGTGGGACAGCAAGGAGGACACAGTTTTCCAGAGCTGCAGAGAATATCTGGTGGGGAGAAGGTGGGGCGGGGGGGGGGGAGCACAGCTCACCAGTCTCTGCTCTTAACTTTGTAATAAATGTTCAACAAAGCCAGAAGAAGCTGCTGTTTCTTTCTAAACATATGTATATTCCCAATAGGCAGGTCATCAAGCGGAAGGCCCTTGTCCTGTCCACTTCCCAATCTACAAAGCAGACACCTCCTCTAAGTCCCCTCCCAGCTCTGTAGGCCAAGACGTCCTCAATAGCGCGCCCCCCGCCCAGATCTGAGGCTAGGAGCAAGGGCTTCAAATCCAGGATTTGGTTCAGGGTCCAAACCTAGCTCTGCCATCCACCAGCTGTGTGACTTTGGGCAAGTGGCTTCACCTCACCTCTAAGATGGGTTCCCATGGAACTGCTGTGAAGACGGAAACAGAAGAGTGGCACAGGGGATCGGGTATTTTGTAAGAACCAAACACACGAGATAGTTGATCATTTTTATTATTGCCATTGATTTTCAGACAACGCGTAGCTGCTTTCTTCTGCTGCCCTTTCCCCCCTACTCATCTCACCAGAACCTAGATGACTACTCAACAAGAACCCCAAACCATCCCACATACTCATTTCAGTATCTGCTAAGACTTAGACAAGAAAAGGGAAAAGGCTGGGACTTCTGGAGGTCCAACTGTGTGCTCCCTTTCTGTAAATCACCACAACCACTTCCTGCCCTGCTTCACCCCATTGTAAAGATGCAGAAACTGAGGTTTCAAGAGGCGCCAGGTCTAGAGGCCAGGAATCTGGCTGCAGGCCCCTGATTTCACACCCTGCCTGCCCTGCGGCTAAGCCCTCCTTCTGCCCTGTCTGAGGTGAGTCAGAGGCAGAGTGGCCTTGGACCTCCAACCGAGGTTTCACTTCCCACAGCAGCTTCATTCTACTTTGAGAGGCTGATTCATCCTTGCTTCCTTCGATTTGCAGGGAAGCCCGGGCTGCGAGTCATCCTTTTCTGCTGAGCTATCTTTGGATTTCCCTCCATATCCACAGCTAGCCTCATGCTTCAGCCCTGAGAGCTAAACTGGGGCTTGTACCACCCACTGCCACAGACTGCCCTTCCTCTGGACGCCAGCCCACCTGGGAGTAAAGGAGACAGGAATTAGATGGGATGTCTGATGACATTTCCAACACCCTCCCCCTGCAGGAAGCCCTCCTGTGTTGCCAGATCCCCTACCAAACTCATTCCTCCTAGTCACACTCCACTGCCCCCAGCACACTCCTTCAGGCCTCAGCTTGGATGTCCCCTTCTCTAGGAAGCCCTTTCTGAAGCTCTCGCAGCCCCATGAATCTGTCTCTATCACAATATTTTTTTTTTAAGATTTTATTTATTTGACAGAGAGAGAGAGCACAAGCAGGGGGAGTGACAGAGGGAGAGGGAGAAGCAGGCCCCTTACTGAGCAGGAAGCCCGACGCGGGGCTCAATCCCAGGACCCTGAGATAAGGGCCTGAGCCGAGGGCAGATGTTTAACAGACTGAGCCACCCAGGCGCCCCTCTATCACAATATTTTTTGAGCCCAGCGCCTTGCTAAGTCCTTTATAGATGAATGACCTCACAAAATCTCTAAAAAGGAGGCAAAGTGGGTATTGTGGCCCTGTTTTACATACGAGGTAACTGAGGCAGAGAGATTTAAGAAACCTGCCCACAGTCACAGTAGAGATGGGGGAGCTGGGATATGACCCAGGCAGCCTGGCTCCAGAGCCCCCCACTTAGCCAAAAGGCCCATCCAGAAACTCAGAGATGACTGCACCATATTTTCATGTTTGTTCTCTACTGTGTCTTCAATGTCAAGGGCTGGCATATGCAGGGCCTCAGTGAAGATCACTGAATGAAAACACCAGCTACCTGGGGTGGCCCAAACTCCTCACCTTCTATCACAGTGGTTTCTGTGAGACAAGGTAGGAACTGGGTAGAAGGGGCTCTTCACTAAGAAACTAAGAGAACACATGAGAGATCTCCTGCTCTGAAGTATCTTGCCCCTGCCTACCCGCACCCATTCCCCCAGGTGGCACATGGGTCTTGAGACCCCCCCCTTCCAGCAGTTTCTGCACTTCCCCTCACAAAATCAGCACTTCCTGAAGGCCCTGCACGAGGGGCTAGGGCTGTAGGCATGAATCAGAGAGCTCTGTCAAGGGGTGTCTCACAGTGCTTTGGGCTTCTTCCCTCCCCTGCTTGTTTTGCCCCCACTCCCATGAGAGGACTGGATGGGGAAAAGAGGGCCCGGAGTGGGGTGGGGTGGGGGCTTATCAGGGTTAAAGAGCTAGTCAGGAACTGAGACTGAGGCAGACCCTGGCCTCTCTCATGCACCCGCCTCCCCAGACACCAAGGACTCTCTCAACATTCAAATATGACTGGGTCTGGCCCTGGCCCAAAACTCTTCTGGGGCTCCCACCTGCCCTTCTGTCAAAGTCTAGCTCCTTAGCTCAGCTCATTTTTTTCTTTTATTGAGAACCATTTTACATAAAGCACGCACATTTTAAATGCAGTCTCAATGAATTTTTACAGATTTATTCACCTGAGCAGCCACCACACAGATCAAGCTAGAAGTTTCCGGCCCCTTCAAAGCTCTCATGTCCCTCCCTACCCTCCTCCATCCTCAGTAACCACCATCCTGACCTCTTCTGCCCAACTCTGAACCATGCTCTATATGCTAGTGTGTACTGGCTTCCTGGGCTCCACACAGTGACCACGAAATCCATCCAGGCCGCTCCACTCTTTTTCACTGCAGAATAGTATTCCATTGTGTCACTATACCCACAGGTCTCACCTGGGGGTGCTCTTCAGGCTCTGGCCCACCCCTCCTCCAGCCTCCCCCGACCCCATCCTGGCTGCTAACGATTCTGCATCCAATTCCAGTGTGTGGGTTTTTCCCCCCAGCACCAAGCAATTCTCAGACGCTGGCTAGGTGTCCTACACTTCAACTCAATTCCACACTGTCTACCTGGAGACAGATTCCACAGGTTAAGAGCTCAATCCTATAAGACTGCACCCCCCCCCACCCCCACCGCCGCCAACCTTCAGACGCCAGTGGCAAGTCCGGGTTGACACCTGTGCTTCTGACCAACCAGCTACAGATCACAGGTTCCAACGAATTCCCCCTTGGGTTGGATTATTTTGCTAAAGCGGCTCACAGAACTCAGAGAAACACAGAAACATTTTACTTACTGGATTCCTCGTATATCATATATCAGTAATTATTATACACCAGGATAAAAACTCAGGAAGGGCCAGATGGAAGGGACACCCAGCTAAGGTATGGGGAAGGGTGGGAGCTACCAGACTCTCCAGGGGCACCGCTCTCCCCACATCTCCACGTGCCCACCAACCTGGAAGCTCTCGCAACCCTGTCCTTTTGGGTTTTGATGGAGGCTTCATTACATAGAAATCATTAATTAAATTATTGGCCACTGGCAACTGCTCCAACCCCCTTCTCCCTTCCCCGAAGGCCAAGGGTCAGACCTGAGATTCTAACCTCTAATCACAAGGTTGGGTCCCTGGCAATAAGCCCCCAGCCCTAGGTTACCTAGGTACTTTCCAAAAGCTGCCTCATTAACATCACAAAAGACACAGCTACCACTCTCACCACAGAAAATTCCAGTGGTTTTAAGTGCTATGAGCCAGAAATGGGACGAATACCAAATATATTATTATAAATCATGGTATCACAGCTGCTCCTGCCAGGGGACTCCTCTTCCCCAACATTCCTTGTTGTACCTGCCCGCCACTGTCCTCTCCCTCTTGCCGCATCCATTTAGAACAAACATCGCCAGCATTTACCCAGTTCTTCTTCATGTTCATAAAGGAAACCCTACCATTTACATCAGCACCAGACTGCAGACCTATCTTGAGCTTTTCTGCTGTGTGGAATAACTGCCAACACAGAAGACACAAGAGTGGTTTTTACAATTTGGAGGGGAGGTCAGATGGCACAGCTTTCCTTTCTTTTACCAGGGTGAATGGGCCCCTCTTCAATTCAAGTCCAATTCCTCTCTCCACCTGTCCTCTGTCAGCAACCCCCCCTTTCCTCTTTCAGGACCCGGTTCCAAAGCGTATGAACATAATGAAACTTCTCCCGCCTTAAAAACACCCCACTAGCACTTCAAGCACCTTAGATCCTGCGTTATGTTTAAAGTTCACTACGTACTTACCGAATTGCAAAACATCTGGAATTCAAATTCAGAGTTTAGATATTGTAAAATAACCAGGATGTAGAAATCCTTAAAAGCAAGTTCTTACAGAGTCACTCTCCGTTTCATACAACAACATGGAAGATTCTCGCAGACATAAAGAGCAAAAGAAACCAGACGCACAGGAGACCTGCTGTAAGATTTCATTTATACGAAGTTCAAGAGCAGCCACAACTTGTCTATGACCGGAATCAGATCAATGTGGGGTGGGGAACTAACAGGAAAACAGCACCAAACAAATTTCTGGGGTGCTGCAAATGACCTCTATCCTGACCTGGTTAGTAGTTACAGCAGGACATAGATTCATAAAAATTCGTAAAAATTCACTGACTGTACCCTTAAGGTCTGTGCCCTTTGCACTTTATCACACGTAAGCTCCATCTCACCAAAAAAGGGTTGAAGAAAAATACTTGTAAACTTTTCCTCGCAGAATCTGAATTACGATATTGTGAAGACTGGGGCATAAAAAGAAAGCCATGTTTTTTCTTTTTTAAAATAAATATTTATTTATTTACTTACTTGAGAGAGACACAGAATGAGAGAGAGAGAGCACAATTGGGGTGGGGGGGCAGAGTAAGAGGGAGAAGCAGACTCCAACACCCCCCCCCCCCCCCCGCGAAGGGAGCCAGGAACCTGGGATCATGACCTGAGTTGAAGGCAGACACTTAACTGACTGAGCCACCAGGTGCCCCCAAAGCCATGTTTTCTTCATGGTGGACCCCACGCCTACCTCTAACAACTTCCCCGGACCTCTGGTCCCCAGCTGATCACCGTCTCTTTGGAACCCTTTGTTCCCTTGGCTCCAGGTCACCTCCTCTGCTGATGTTCCTACTGTCAGCCCCTTTCTGGGGTGCTGGTCCTTCCCCTGATTCCTAGATGTGGGAGGCCCCAGGGCCTAGCCTCTGCTCTGTCTACTCACTCAGCCTGGATGGTTTTAGCCAATTCCAGGGCTTTAAGTACCATCTATATACTAAAAGCTCCAAATGGAGCATACTTGTATAGCTGCTAATAAAATGACAAGACATCTGAGATGTGCTTTTAAAGAAGTAAAGAAACTCCAAGTAAAAAGTGTGCTTATGTGTGGGAGGGGAAAAGAGAACAAGAGAAGTAAAACGTAGATGACTATCAATACTGAGTGATGGGCATGTGAGAATTCTTCATACCACAATACCTTTGTGTTTGCTTTTAAAATTTCATAATGCAAAAAAATTTTTTTTAATAAAATAAAATTTCATAAAGTCAGTAAAACCTGTGTATCTACAAATCCTGGTTTCTCCCCCAAAGTGTCACTCCTTACTTGATATCTAGTGAGTATCTCAGAGAAAGTTCAAAGCTTGTCAATTTCCCATCAAGATGACTCATAATTCATCTTCGTAAAAAAGCATCACTCTTCATCCAGTTGGTCAAGCCCAAAACCTTTAGGATAACTTTTAAGTCATCCCTGATTCATGCTTCCTCTCACACAACCCTCTTCCTGAGTCACGATCATCTCCCGTCCAGGCAGGGACATGGGTTTCCTCATCGCCTGTGTCCATGCCTGCCCAGCTGCAGGCCATCTTCCCCACAGCAACCAGCACTGCTTTAACATTTTTGTGCATAAACAGTCACATGGCTCAAAAATGCAGAAGTCTTAAACAGTCATCCTCAGGCGCCTGGGTGGCTCAGTCGTTAAGCGTCTGCCTTCGGCTCAGGTCATGATCCCAGGGTCCTGGGATCAAGTCCCACATCGGGCTCCCTGCTTGGCAGGAAGCCTGCTTCTCGCTCTCCCACTCCCCCTGCTTGTGTTCCTGCTCTCGCTATCTCTCTCTCTGTCAAATAAATAAATAAAATCTTAAAAAAAAAAACAGTCATCCTCACAACTCTGATCCACGGGTCTATGACCCTCATCCCCACAAGCAACCACTGTCATTAATTTGGGGTGTTCACTACAGAAATTTTTATAAAACATACATCCCAACATGCTGGTCCTTGCTCACGGCCTCCAATGCTTCCTGTTATACCTGAGAAGTAACTTCCAAAGTCCTTATCATGGCCTATAAGACCCTATGTAACCTGGCTCCTCTCCATAGCTCCATTCCTAAACAATCCTTCCTCTCTTCCCCTGGCTCTGCTCTAGTCACCTGGTAACCCTGACAATCTTTGAACAGCCGGCTCCACTCCTGCTTCTTCCAGGGGTCTTTCCACTGACTGTTTTTCAGCATCTTCATATGGCTCATTTCCTTACCTTTTTTCAGGCATCTGCTCAAATGTCACCTCCTCAGAGAGCCCTCTCCAACCACCTGTCACTCTCTGACCTCTGTCACTCAAAATTTCCTTACCCTGACTTTTCCTTCCAAGTATCTTTTACCTGACATCATCTGTTCTACTAGAACATCTGCTGCTAGAGGGCAAGTGCTCTTTCCTATTCACTGTAGGATCTCTAGCCTACAGCCACGCTTGGCAGCTTACCAAACTTCCATAATTCATTCAATAGATGAATAAAATGGACAAGTGAATAAAGAAATGAACAGATCATTTGGCAATAGCTCTCAAAATTCCCAAGTTGATACCCTGGACCCAGCAATTCTACTTCAAACAAGGTATCACTGATAATACTGCCATATACATACAATCAGATGTATGACGATATTAACTGCAGCAGATGTGAGAGCTATAGTTCAGAAACAGCCTAAATGTTTACCAGTAGGGAAATGGATAAAAAAGCATGGTACGTCCACACAACCATGTCATTAATATGAGAAAAGGCAGGTCTCTGGGTGCTTGTTTGCACCACTGACTTACCACTAGGCGGGCTGCCCGCTGCCGAGGGGGAAAAAATGTGGGCTTGCTCTGTGGTGAGACAGGCTTGCATTTGAATCCAGGCCCTGCTGCTTCTTGGCTAGGGGACTTCTGTAAGGACCTTCTCTCTCACTCATTTTCTGCATCTGTCAAATGGGGAGGGGAAAAGGTTGTAGTGACATATATAAAACACAGCCTGGTACACAGTGGGCCCAATGTCAATGTCAGGCCCCTTCTTTTTCCTTTTTAAGTCGTTTCCACCTGAGGGTTGCTCGGAGTTGTGAAACTGGCATGGAGGGTGTTCTGGGATTGAGAAATTCAGTTAAGAAAAACTGGTAACGACCTAACCGAGATTAAGAAGATGCTAAAGAGGAATACGGACAAAACATAATACAGATGGCCTGATTGTCATGTGTGTCTCTGGGAAACAACCACAGTCTGGAGAATCCACAAACAGGGCTCTCAACTTAGGTCTGTGTGACTAGTGTTTTCACCAAGCCTGTGGCAGCCCGGAGACAGTTCCCCCTGGCACAGGTACTGAGAAAATGGCAACAGGGAGGAGGCTTGCAGGGGAGAGGGCGGCTCAGAATCAATCACTATCATTACCACTGTAAACCACAAAACATGACAACACATAGTGCTACTATGCACCAGGCACTGTTCTGGGAACTTCCATCCATTTAACTGCCGTTAATATCACAAGGTGCTGCCAACTTCATTTTAGAAACGGGGGCAGAGAGGGCTAAGGAACTTGGCTAAGGTCGGCTGCCATTTATGTGAACCCACATTTATGTGAACTCAAGCTCTTTAACGCCAATGCTTTAAGAGTAGTTCCAGAAGGAAACTGGGAGCCGGTGCTTTAGGAACGGAATATGGGAACCACAGTAGGAGACTTACTTTTATTGTGTACCCCATTAGGTGCTTCAACTCTGTCAGAATGTACCTGTATTCCCTGTCCAAATAGAAATTAGAAAACGTTTTAAGTAAGATTTCAAAAGAAAAGTGGTAAATCCCCCACCCACCCCCCCATTCGCCGACATGTTTATGAATCACCGCCCTCTGAAGCGAGCTTTCCCCCCAAAGGTAACCGCCGGGCCTCGCTAAGGCGCTGCGCATGCGCTCTCCGCGGGCCGCGCGCTCAGCCCGGTATTCCCCTCAGGCGTGCACAGGGCTCCGCCACAGGCGTCTTCAATTTTCGGCCCTTAGTCCTGGGTCCCTCCTCCACTGCGGCCGCCGAGGGACTTAATACGTGGTCCTGTTCCACCCCCTCTCCCCCCATCTCCGTCTCCCATACCTTCAGGCTAGAACCTGCCCCTGGAGACCCTTCAGGATCTGAGCTGCCCATCTGTGCGGCCTCACCTCCCACCCCGGGGGAACTCTGAATCCAAAACAGTCTAGACCTTTCCCTCTGCCTGGAGTGCTCCTGGCCGTGCTTCAGGGTCCAACCGGACCTGGGCCCTTTCCCTAAGTGATTTGATCTGCCTCCCTCCACAGAGCGGGTTGTCTTCCAGCACTCACGCCGGTCTGATTCATTCCTGTGTTCTCAGCACTTCCTCGGCCCAGGACCCAAAATTCCTCCCTGCCGCTCCACCCTACCGAATCCAGCCAACAGCACTGACGAGGCGGGACTCGAATCGGCTATCTCCGTAACCACCCTCTCTCCCGCCGTGTTACACTCCCACAGAGGCCCCGAAAGACGCGCACGCGCACTAAGGCGGAGCCGCAGCGTTCTCCCTCCTCCCCCTCCGTCATCCGCATGCGTGCTGAGGCCAACCACCTCCATCGACGCATGCTCAGCCCGGCGCAAACACTCCGTTCTCGCTCGCCCAGCCCTCGGCGCATGCGTAAGGCCAGCACCCCGCGGGTCCTGCTCTCAGCTCGGAACCGCGCTACCTCCTCGTCTTCCTCTTTCGGCCCTGCGTTCCTTGGGTGCCACCGCCGGGGTGCCTAGACCGGTTCCGGAGTGACCGGTGCCTGCTCTCTCGATCTCCCCCACGCTCCTTGTCCCCCAGACGCCATTTACAGGCCCGTGGCTTGTGGTGGAACCTCCCCCAACCAGCCAAAGCGCGCGTAGCGCTGCGCCCCAAGAGCCAATCAGCAGCCGTCTTAGGTAAGGGACCCGCAAGCCCGCGCGAGGCTTGTGCGCCGACAGGGGGCGGGGCGCGGGGCGCGTTTCGGGGCCCCGCCCCCTTTTCGACCGCTAAACGGTCGCTCGGGCGCCCGGCGGGTGTTCGTAACTGAGTAGGGAGCGAAGAGCAGCCCTTAAAATACCGGGTTGGCCGGCGTTGGGTGGGGACCGATGAGTAATGTGTAAATAGGAACTTCGGTTCTGGGAGGACCTAAGTATTGCAAAGGTCCCAACGATAGCGTGTAAAGGGAAACTTAAGTTTTGGGATCACGCTCGCAGAGGGTCTACAAACAGATCCTATGTGCCCGGGAGGTCCTCTAAATACTGCGTAAAAAGAAACTTAAGTTGTAGGGTTCCCCATAGGCTTGCAGGCAGGTGCCTAATTATGGGGGGTGCCCTCTGAGCAATCTATAGACTCGTAAGTTCCATATCAAACTTGCAAAATTATGTGTTCAGGTGTCAGAGGGTCCTTAGGAAAAGAGTGTGAATCGACTCTTAACGTTCTGGGGGTGGGGGGTGGGCATAGATATGGAGTCAGGAGTTTGCAAATAGACACTTAGGTTCGGGGAGAATCCCCCACAAGGGTCGTGTGAAGAGATGCGCAGGTGGTGAGGAAGCTGCCCAGAGAATGCCTTGTTAGATTCCTAACGTCTGCGAGGTTACCGTCAGAGTCCTGTAAATAAACACAGACTGGCCTCAAGCATTTTGGGAGAATCCTCAAAGGAGCCTGGAAACATTGGGGGTCCCCAAATTGCATGTAGGTGGACTCAGATTCTGGGGAGCTCCCCCTTAGAACTGTCAAGTAGACGCAGATACTGTGGAAGTTCCCAGAATAACATGCAAAGGGACCACTTACTGCGTGGGAAGGGGGTCCCCTTGGTGTGTAAACAGATGCTTGAGCGGAATCCCCATTGAGGAAAGATACTTAAGGGTCCGGGTGGGGGGTGGGGCTGTCTCCAGACTGGTCTCCATTAACCAACACTTAATGGCAGGGGAGGGTGGAGTCCCGATTTCTGAGGGCAATCTCCCTCAGAGATTGTAAACGGTCATTTAAGTGCTGAGTGGATCGTTTTCCATAAGCATGTGTAAACAGGCCTTGCCCTCCTGTCCCAGAAGGCAGTTTGAGCTCAGTTTGTGGCTGAAGAGGTCACTTGGAGCAATGAGGAGCTAGACAAGCCCCTGCCTGGCTAGCAAAATGACTCCCACATCCTGTAAACACTGCAGTTCTGGAGAAAGACTCTTGCACAGGGACCTGTTAGTCACTGTTTGCTTGGGTGGGAGGGGGGGATTCATAGTATGATTTCACAGACACCTAAGAGCTAAGCAAGGGTCAGCAAACCTTCTGTAAAGGGCCAGAGGGGAATTGTTTGAGGTTCTGCAGGCTGTACTGTCTCCGTCTCAACTACTCAGTTCTGCCATTGTATGAAGAAGGCAGCTGTAGACAATTGATAAATTGATGGACGTGGCTGTGTTCCAATAAAACTTTATTCACAAAAACAGAAGGGAGCCCTGATTTGGTCCATAGGCTACGGTTTGCCAACTTGACCTGTGAGCTGTATAGTAAATGGCGTTATAGTCCTGCAAGCAGACTGTTAAGTACTCAGACACTTCCCTAGAATGAAGTGTAAACAGCTGGGGAAACTCCCTAGTGGGACCTATAAAGATAATTAAATGGTAGGGAGTGGATCATATTGGTAGCAGTACATTTTATAACATCTTAGATTCACCACTGGTGAGTGGTGTGTGAGGGATGGCAGACCATCAGAAATGGAAGGTAAACAGACTGATGCCAGATGAGACACCAGATGAAAATAGGCCCTTGAATGCCCTGCATCTGCCAGTAGTCGGTAATCAAAACAGTAGTTGTCGGACTGAGGATCATGTTACTGATTTGTAAGGAAATGCTTTGCTGCAGTTTGGGAAAGAAGATGTCCCATTTTATGTGACTCTCCCCCTATGAGTTATACTTATGTTGGGGCAAAGGGATTAATAGTTGGAAATAGTTTTGGCTACAAGTAAGAGGAGTGTATTTGTTCATCACCACATCCAGAAGTCGACAACGTAAAGTTAATAATAGGGGACCCCCTAATCTTTTTCTATCATGCCTTCTCTCCTTGCTTCCAGTCCAAGGTGCCTGCTTGAGCTCCAGCCTGCACACCACATTCCTTCCAGCCAGGAGGAGGGCAGAAGGCCAGTGCCAGTGCCAAAATGTGCCAATGTCTGTGAAGGAAAGTTCCTGAAAGCTGCCAAAACACACTTCTGGTTCATATCAGTGGCCAGAAAGAACTTAGTCACATGGCCATCTACCTGCAAATTATGCTGGGAAGTGTGTTCTGGACAGCCATGTGCCCTGCTCAGAACTGAGGGTTTTATATATATATATATTTTTTTTTAAGATTTTATTTATTTATTTGACAGAGAGACACAGCGAGAGAGGGAACACAAGCAGGGGGAGTGGGAGAGGGAGAAGCAGGCTTCCCACCGAGGAGGGAGCCCGATGTGGGGCTCGATCCCAGGACCCTGGGATCATGACCTGAGCCGAAGGCAGACGCTTAACGACTGAGCCACCCAGGCGCCCCGGTTTTATATTTTGGAAGAAGTGAAGGAAGAGTAGATCTTGAGAGCCAGCTGGAAGCCACTGCCACAGCACAGAGCTCTCTGGAAACAAAGTGCCTTTTTACAGTCCAGAGTGAGCCAGATCAGAGAGCGTCTCTTCACCCTGAAATCAACCTCTTTCTCTCTGTAGGCAACCATGTCTGAGTCTGGCCATAGTCAGCCTGGGCTCTATGGGATAGAGAGGCGGCGACGGTGGAAGGAGCCTGGCCCTGGCGGCCCCCAGAATCTCTCTGGGCCTGGTGGTCGGGAGAGGGACTACATTGCCCCATGGGAGAGAGAGAGACGGGTGAGTGAGTGGACCCAAGGGCAACATCCACATATCCACTCGTTCCACAAATGTTTTTTAAGCACCTGCCATGTGCCAGGCACTAATCTAGATGCTGGGGCTCTATGAACAAAACTGACTGGCCTCATGGAGTAAGGGCAGAGAGTGACAAAGGGGCTGTCTTAGATGAAGTGGACAGAGAGACCCTCCCTGAAGAGGTGACGAAATACACCATGACAAGATGTGAGTGAAGGGCATTCTGGGACAGAACAGCAAATGTGAAGGCCCTGAGCCCTGTGTGTGGTGAATTCAGGGAGTAGCCGGAAGCCAGTGTGGCTGCAGAGGCTGAAGAACAGAAGGTGATTGAAGATCATGTCGGAGAGGTAACAGGCCAGATCACGTTGGACCTGAGAGGCCTGGGAAAGGAGTTTGGATTTCACCAAATGAAATTGGCATTGGAGAGTTTGAGCTGAGAGGTGCCAGAAGCTCATATTTTAAAGAGTCGTATAATAACAGCAGTAGCTGTTTTTTGTTTTTTTTTTTTAAGATTTTATTTATTTATTTGAGAGAGAGCACGCGTGCAAGCAGGGAGAGGGAGAGAGACAGGCAGACTCTGCACTGAGCATGGAGCCTGATGCAGGGCTTGATCCCATGACCCTGAGATCATGACCTGAAGCGAAATCTAGAGTCGGATGCTTAACCCGCTTAGCCACCCAGGCGCCCCATAACAACAGCAGCTGTTACTATATGTTGAGTGGCATGCAGCATGCTGGGCACCGCGCAAAGTGCTTTTTTTTTTTTTTTAAGATTTTATTTATTTGACAGAAAGAGACACAGCGAGAGAGGAAACACAAGCAGGGGGAGGGGGAGAGGGAGAAGCAGGCTTCCCGCGGAGCAGAGAGCCCGATGTAGGGCTCGATCCCAGGACCCTGGGATCACGACCTGAGCCAGAGGCAGACGCTTAATGACTGAGCCACCCAGGCGCCCCAACTGCTCAAAGTGCTTTAACATCCTTTGGGGTCTTCCTGAACCCTGAGAGCTACCTCATGAAGGAGAAGCTAGAATAGATTTGATTTTCACTAATGAAGAAAATGAGTCTCAGAGGAGAAGGGACTTACCCAAAGTCGAAGAGTCAGTAAGCTTTGGGGCCAGAACTCAAGCCCAGATCCAGCCGAGCCCAAGCACAGCCTGTTCTGTCTGCTACAGTGTCCTGGGCTGGGAATCAGGAGCCTCGGCGTGGGCGCAGGTCCTGCCTTGCTCCCCTCGTGTGCTTAAGTGACTCACTGCCAGAACCTGCCCCCCACTCAGGTTCTTTCTCCACCTCTGAGAGAGGTTTGGGGGGAGGGTGGAAGAAGGTATCAATTGGGACTGGTTTCTGAACCATAAAACTGCAAACATGAAGAATAATTTATTCACAGTGAGCTCAGCTCTTGCTTGTTCCTTCCCTTGGGTTGCAGGACAGGTGAGAACAAAGGGTCTCTCTTCCTTCTACACATATCCTGGGGAACGTTACCATCTTCCTGTACTGTCAGCTTCAGTCCCTGGATAAGCAACTCCAAAGTCTCTTGTCTTTGTCCCTGACTTTGCCATTGACTGGCCAGTGGACTCCTCATCCCCTGTGTCCCCTGCTGACCTCAGCAACTTCCTCCCATTTCTCCTCCTCCCAGTATCCATGACAGCCCATCGGGCCTCATCCTGGACACCCCCCCGCCCATGCCAGTCAGACATGAGTGCTGCACCCTGTGCCTCCTGAATACATCTCCTGTCCACCATCTTGTCACAGGAGTCACACATCCTCCCCTCCTCCCTGGCCTTCTGAAGGCCCACAGCCTCGCTTGTAGTTCTGTCACAACTGTTCTTTCCAGAGCACTTTTGTGCCCTTTTGTTTGTTCTTCACCATCGGCCAGTATTCCCAACATATGGTGAAGAAACAGACCCGGTGAAGGTTCGTGAGTTTCCTCAGGGAACCAGAAAAGAACAAGACGCAAACTCAGATCTCTCCCTTTTCTTATCAAGCAGGTCG